ACACGGGTTCACTCGCATGATTTTACCTCACAGTTTTTTGGGAGAAGGAGGATTTTTTTTTCTTTTCTTTTTTAATTTTTTTTTTTTTTTTTTTTTTAAGATGGGGTTTCATCATTATGTCCAGGCTGGTCTTGAACTCCTGACCTCAGGTGATCCACCCATCTCAGCCTCCCAGAGTACTAGGATTACAGGTGTGAGCCACCTCACCCGGCCTAGGGGGAAGGAGGATTTTTTTAAAAAACACAATACATAGTTTTCAAAGCCAAATACTGGAAGGCTTGCAATGTAAGGCAGCAGACCCGAGCCTCCCCCCCAATCCCATTTCTGTTACCTCCTCCCTGAAACCACGTCTCCAGCTGTGTCTTCATTATTTATCTCCATACATATAAAAAGATGCTGATACTACTGCTTATTGGTTTCTTTTTCTTTTTTTTGAGACAGAGTCTCACTCTGTCACCCAGTCACCCAGGCTGGAGTGCAGTGTAGCTATCTCAGCTCACTACAAACTCCACCTCCCAGGTTCAAGCAAGTCTCCTGCGTCAGCCTCCTGAGTAGCTGGGATTACAGGCATGTACCACCACACCTTGCTAATTTTTGTATTTTTAGTAGAGATGTGTTTCACCATGGCCAAGCTGGTCTTGAACTCCTGACCTCTGAACAGGCCTGAGCCCTCATCTGTTTTCCCAGACGACGCGGGTTCACTCGCACGATTTTACCTCATGGTTTTTTGGGGGAAGGAGGATTTTTTTTCTTTTCTTTTTTAATTTTTTTTTTTTTTTTTTTTTTTAAGATGGGGTTTCATCATTATGGCCAGGCTGGTCTTGAACTTCTGACCTCAGGTAATCCACCCATCTCGGCCTCCCAGAATGCTAGGAATACAGGTGTGAGATACCTCAAGTGATCTACCCACCTCTGCCTCCCGAAGTGCTGGGATTATGTGAGCCACCATGTCCGGCCTCTTTTTTCAGTGTTAGATGTTAATTATTGATTTCATATTATGGAAAGTGAGGATTGAACATTCTTGTGTAGTGGTCCTCTCCTTAGGGTGACCATGTAACAACCTGGTCATATGTCAATATCTGTTTGGCTTTTCTCCTGGGTCAGGTGGTTTCCCCACACAAAAAAATCTCCAATATCCTTCTGGGGGTTCAGGGTGGGGTTAGATCTTGCTGCCAGCATTCTGGGAGCTAAGCAGGCAAGGAGCCTGTGCGGTTTCAGCTTTCGATCTGCCAGCTTTCACCTCCTCCCATTTCCAATGCAGTGTCTCAACCTCACTCTTCACTGCCTGTGCTCTGAGGGCTCAGGGACATGGCTTCCGGGTCTCTCCAAGAGTGAGGCCCTCATCTGCTCCTTTCACCCACAGCTGCCGTGGCTGACTCTTGAGCCTGCCCAAACTCTGCACAGAGAATCCATTGCCTTGCTTCCTGCTGGCGTTTCCACCTGAAATTGGCTAACATCTAACTTTCTCCTGTTTGCTAAGTGAGTTTTCAACCATCCAAAATTTTGTTGCCAGTTCTCATTGGCTACTGTCTCCCTCCTCCCTTTTTTTTTGGTTGTCCCCATGGATGTATGCCTTTTTAAAAATTTCTTTTAAAAATCTCTTTAATTCTCACTTTAGTGAGGTATTGATAGGGAACAGATAGATAAATTCAGCCTGCCTTGTTTAATTGAAATCTGGAGGGTTTTTTGTTTTTTGGGTTTTTTTTTTGCTTGAAAACTTTATTAAAATAAGGATTAGCCCTGAAAAAAGAGCAATAAGAATGCCAGCCCTTTGCATAAAATCAGCAAGAAAAAGGAAACAGGGAGGGAGGGAGAGAGAGAGAGAGAAGGAAGGGCAGGGAGGGAGGGAAGTGGGAGGGAGGGGGGGTCAAGGGAGGGGAGGGGGAGGGGGCAAGGGAGGGGAGGGGGAGGGGGCAAGGGAGGGGGGAGGGGGACAAGGGAGGGGAGGGAGGAGGGGATAAGGGAGGGGAGGGGGAAACCTGGAGTTTTAATAAGAAAAAAAATAAAAATAATAAATAAAAAATGAAACCTGTGGTTTTAAATTTGAATAGTGAATGGATTTATACATCCTAGTTAGCAAAACGGAAAATATATGATTATGTCTATAGGTCAGAGTCAACGCATCTATCTTGTCCAGTTATTACTTTAATTAAAAAATGTCTTATATGAAGGCACCCACCCATCCAAGCTGTTTAATTGTAAAGTATGCTGCCTAGGATATATCCAAATATATATTTACTGTGCACCTTGTGCTCTCCATATAATCTGAAAGAAAAGAAACAGAGCAACAACAGACGAACCACCAAGCTGTTTGCTTGTTTTAAATGTGGAATTTTGCAATGATGGATGTGAATCTGGGTCAGCACTATTTACAAAGAGCACATGGTGTTTTGTTTCAATGAGCAGGAAAATGTTTGCCATTAAATGTGGTAAAAGCTTGTAGTTTTTTCCAACTAAGCAGTAAAAGAAATTACTCAGTGTAGAATGATAAATAAAGAGTTCTATGAGTCATCTTTAAGTAGGGGAAATGTGCAGCCAGGATAGAAACAATGTTTTACCGCCTGCTAAAAATAAAATCCACTGAAACAGAAGTGCTAGAAGCACAAGTAACTGTGGGGTTTAATATGGTCCATGCTTTTCAAATCTGTTTCTTCAAATGATGGTGACAAAAAGGTAAATATGCTGATCCTTCCTTCCTTCCCTCCCTCCCTCCCTCCCTCCCTCCCTCCCTCCCCTGCTTCCTTCCTTCTTTTTTTTTTTTTCCTTTAAACAGGGTCTCACTTCATCACCCATGCTGGAGTACTGGAGTGCTGGAGTGCAGTGGTACAATCATGGCTCAGTGGAGCCTCAAAACTCCTGGATTCAAGGGATTCCCCCAGGCCTTAGCCTCTCCTAAGTAGCTGGGACTACAGGCACACACCACCATGTCTAGTTAATTTTTTTCTCTTCTTCCTCCTTCTCCTCCACCTCTTTCTCCTCCACCTCCTTCTCCTCCTCTCCCCATCCCTTCCCCTCCCCCCTCTTCATTCCCTCCCCCTCCCTCCTCCTCCCCCCTCCCCCTCCCCCCTCCCTCCTCCTGCCCCCTCCCCCTCCCCCTCCTCCCTCTCCCTCCTCCCCCTCACCCTTCGCCCCCTTCTTCTTTTTTTTCTTCTCCTTCTTCCTCCTTTGTAAAGGTGGGGTCTTGTTTTGTTGGCCACACTTGCGTCCAACTCTTGGCCTCCAGCAATCCTCCCACCTCAGCCTCCCAAAACACTAGGTGATTCTTCTTTTTAAAGTCAGGTTTATTAAGGTATAAGCTTGATAGAGTAAAATTCACTCATTTGCATACACATCGGATGTATTTTGACAGACTCATCTGGTCATGTAGCCACCACCATAATCACTCCCAGCCTGGGCAAACACTGATCTGTTTTCTTCTTTCTATAATTCTGCCCTTTTTGAATGTCACATAAATGTCTGGGCACATTCTCTTATGCCTGTAATCCAGCACTTTGGAAGACTGAGGTGGATGGATCACCTGAGGCCAGGAGTTCAAGTCCTAGATTTTGACCAATATGTCAAGATCCCATCTCTACTAAAAATACAAAAGCCATCCTCCCACATTGGCCTCCCAAAGTGCCTGGGGATGAGCCACTGCACCTGGCCCCTTTCTCTCTTTTCTTTCTTCCTCCTTCCTTCTTTCAGTGTTTCTCAGAAGTGGGTGGTTCAAGAATTTTCCCTGACTGGAGGAAGAGCACATGAGAGCCCAGGTGGGCTGGGGAGGCTGGCAGGTCAGGGCCAGCCACAGGGCTGCAGCCGGGCCAGCGCTCACACAGGGCTGCAGCCGGGCCAGCGCTCACACAGGGCTGGCTGCCTCCAGGAATCATGTTGCTGCATGTGTTCCAATGCCTTTCCATTGCCATGTGGTCTTCCATATTCTGTGCTGTTTATCCACTCGTCAAAGCTCATACACATTTGGGTTTCTTCCAGTATTTGGCTTTTGAGAATCACGCTGCTGCCTGCTGTAGTGGCTCATGCCTGTAATCCCAGCACTTTGGGAGGCTGAGATGGGATGATCATTGGAGGCCAGGAGTTTGAGACCAACCTGGGCTACATAGCAAGACCTTGTCCCTAAAAATAAAATGAAATAAGAAAAACAAATAATGCTGCTATAACATTTTTGTACATATTTGTGCAGACATGTATTTTTATTTCTCTTGGAGAAATATTCAGGAGTGAACTTGTTGGGTTAAATAGTAAGTGCATGTTAAATCTTACAACATTCTGAATTCCTAGGTTCCAGAGCAGCTGTAGCATTTTTCATTTCCACCAGCAATGAATGAAAGTGACACTCACATCTTCACCAACACTTAGTATTGACAGTCTTTTTACATTTAGCCATTTTAGTGGGCGCAATGCTATCCCATCGTGGTTTTCATTTGCATTGTCTGATGACCAGTGATTTAGAGCAGCAGGCCCCAACCTTTCTTGGCACCAGAGACTGGCTTCTGGAAGACAGTTTTCCCATATAGAGTCGGGGAAGGAGGCTGAGGGATGCTTTCAGGATCAGGGATTAGATTTTCATAAGGAGCACCCAACCTGGATCCCTCAGTGTGCAGTTTACAGCAGGGTTTGAGCTCCTCTGAGAATCTAATGCCGCTGCTCATCTGACAGGAGGCGGGGCCAGGTGTGATGCTTGCTTGTCATCTGCTCGCCTCCTGCTGTGCCGCCCAGTTTCTAACAGGGCTGGGGACCGCCGATTAAGAGCATTTTTCGTCTATTTGTTGGCCATTCTTACATCTTTTTTGGTAAAGTGTGTACAAATCTTTGAACACTTTTGAGCATTGGGTCCTTTTTCATCCTTATTACTAAGATGTCTATGTGTGTGTGTGTGTGTGTCTGTGTGTGTCATTACACACTTCCTTTTATATTCTGAATACAAACCGTTTGCTGAATATATGTTCTGCAAAATTTTCTTCCAGTCTCTGAACTGCCTTTCTTTTTTTTTCTTTTTTTTTTTTAGAAAAAGAGGAGAGAAGGAGAGGAAGAAAGAGGAAGAAAAAGAGGGAGAGAGAACAGGAATATTGTTTCATTCTAAAAATGGGTATTAATAATGGCCAATCAATACTTTGTGTATTTAAAGTGGACAATATATTTTGTGTATTTAAAATGGAGAGCTCTATAAATATTTATTGAGTTTACTTGTTCTGGATCTGAGTTCAAGTCCTGGATACCCTTATTTATTTTCTGTCTCGTTGAGTCTAAATCTCGTTATGGGTCTTATGTATCTGGGTGTTAAGATCTCTTATTGTTGCATTGATCCTTTTACCACTGTATCTTTGTTGCTTTGAAATCTATTTTATCAAATGTGAGAATTGCAACTCCTGCTTTTTGTTTATTTATTTATTTTTGCTCTCCATTTGGTTGGTAAATTTTTCTCCAACCCTTTGTTTTGAGTCTTGGTGTATCTTTGGATATACCGTTTGGTTTTGGCTGTATCTTTTGATTGGGGGATTTAGTCTATTTAAATTTAGGGTTACTGCCATTTGATGTTAACTGGCTATCAATGTTCTTATTTGTATTTTTCAAAAGGCAGAAGCTTTGCCAGCCTTTCCCAGGGTGTGCTATTGTGTTGCACTTTTCCTGCTGGAGCCCTGGCTGCTGCACGTTCCATGGAGACTCCAATGCACAGGGAACAGAAGTCTCCTCCTTTATTGCAGAAATTATCCGGAAAGTGACACTGAGCATGATCTGCTTCCAAAATGCCACACCACATGCCCAGCTCTCTCTGCCAGCTGTCCTGGCCTCCAGCAACCCCGCCTCAGCATCCCCGTGGGAGTTTCATGCAGAGAGCTTGCAATAATCAAACAGGAAGGGGATGCAAGGCGATCAGTACGTGGATTTGACAATGACAAAGTGGTTCACTCAGATTCAAGGATATCAAAGAAAGGCCTAAGTACCTGAGATCTCATTTCAAATCAGTTTGGATGGTTACATTTCACTGAGGTTGGGAACACAGATAATCAGATCTGCTCCAGCATTGCTCTAATTTAGTTAAAAACATTTCTATCAAGGACAGGTGTACCATGAAGTTACCGAGGCTTGAGCTTCAGGGACCCTGATTCCAGGCCCATCCTCAGGTCCTGGGGGGCACCCTGCAATGTGTTTCTGTTCATTCGAAGCAAATATACACGATTATTCCTTACTTTCATTTGTAATGTTATGCGCTTATTTTAATAAAGACTCTCTCGTGATATATTTAAGCTCCACAAGGAATGAAGGGGCAAGATGACGAATCTTATTTGAATATGAGAGCTTAGTTGTAAAGACGTCTTCCTCTGAATTATGAGAGAGGAACTGTGTGTGTCCAGGTTTGTGTATTAGGGTGTTGTGTGTCTATGTAAGGGAGTGAATGTGAATGTGAATGTGAATGTGCGTAAGGGCAGGTGTGTGTGTGTGTGTGAGAGGTAGGTGCTTGTGTGTGTGTGCAAGGCAGGTGCTTGTGTAAGGCAGGTGTGTGTGTGTGAGGTAGGTGCGTCTGTGTGTGTAAAGCAGTGCATGCTTGTGCTTCAGGCAGGTGCTTGTGTGAGTGTGTAATGTAGAAGCCTGTGTGTGTGTGTGCCCTCATACACCATGGGGTAGAAGAGGAAGAATAACCACAGGGTTGATAAAATCTCTCAGGAAATAAGCTGTAAGTTATTTGTCTCTCTTTTCTCTTGTTTCATTAAAAAGACTGTCAAACACAAGCCATGTTGTTTTTAAAACCCAGAGTTCCGGGAACAAAAAATTGGCACTGGGGTCTAAGGAAAAGCTGACACCACATTCTCGAGATCAGCAGAAGGCAGTCATAGACCTGGCTCCTGGCTGGGTACCGGAACTGGCAGTGGGGAGCACCCACCTTCTCCTTCTTGGTGAACCCGGAAAGAGGCTTCATTGAGTGTAGCTGAGAAAGCCACTGCCAGAGCCCAGTAGCAACAGACAGCAGGCGGAGAAAATGAGTAATCTTAGAAGTAGATGGATAACTGGGCACAGTGGCTCATGCATATAATCCCAGCACTTTGGGAGGCCGAGGCGGGCAGATCACTTGAGTTCAAGACCAGCCTGGCCAACATAGTGAAACTCCATCTCTACTAAAAATTCAAAAATTAGCTGAGCATAGTGGTTGGCGCCTGTAACCCCAGTTATTCAGGAAGCTGAGGGAGGAGAATTGCTTGAACCTGGGAGGCAGAGGTTGCACTGAGCCGAGATCATGCCATTGCACTCCGGCCTGGGCACCAAGAGTGAAACTCCGTTTCAAAAAATAAAAATAAAATAGATGAATGGAGTAGAAATTGCTAAAAACATCATGACTGAGCACAAGCAGAGACAAGGTTTAGCACCACTGATTTTATTATAAAATGCTGCTTAGAATGATTGACCGGAGGCAACGATTTTTCTGTAACTCTCACCATGGGTTGCATTTTATTAAAGAATCAAAATGTGGGAAGTTTGAAGAGAAACCTGGCATGTATTGGGAGCAGGTGTGGTGCTGCCCCTCCCCTTTCTTGGTGCCTGAACAAATTCTTCCTATTTAAAAAATTCCCATTGCCCAGATGGTGATCAACAGGATAGGTACAATCCCGCACACAAACCATTTAATCACTAAAACGTGGCCTGCAAATTCAGACTTCGGAGCTATAAATATATAGCTGAAATACACACCAAGCCACGGATGAAGCCAACGCTTCCTTCATCCAATGTTAAGCAGGTTTCCAGATGTCGGCTGTAGCTGCTTTCCCAGTCTGGATGTTTCCTTCCAGCCTCTGCCTCTGCTTTTCCCACTGGCCTCCATTCTGCAATGGGTCTTCCCCTGGGCCTGGGCCATGCGCCTCTTCTCTTCTGAGACACCTCCCACCCCCCAGCGCTCTCTGTCCTGAGCCTCTTTCTTTCCTGTGGTTTCACTGTCACTGTTCATCTCATTCCACCCACATGTCCAAGATTTCCCTCCTCAGAAGCTTCAGCTCTTCCCGGCAACCCAGGAATTATGTTTCATTACAGCCTCACACAAAATACAGCCTTTCAATTACTAAACCTTCTAATTCTCAGTGAGTCTTTCCTGGAACCCCTAAATCACAGTCCGCAGCCATGGTCCCCCTAGCCCTTTCATCTCCACCCCAACTTTTGGGGTGCACATCCCAACTGTGCTCTGCTTGTTTGTTCTTAATCTGCATGAAGATAGCTGCCTCCATGTGAATTCTACCTAATTAGAGCTATGAGGTTTTCCTCAAATATGGAAATCTTGTAACTATTTCAGAACTGACATGTGGGTGCACTCTCCCATATGTTTACCATATTGTTGATATTCATGGGACTAAACATTTTCAGTCACTCCTTAGATGAAAAATTTCAAAATGCATCTGTCAAAGAGAAATTGTTCATAACCAACATGAAGCTACAGGTGTGTAATGAGGATGAAGCGCCTGTGATTGGAGCCTCCAGCCCCAGCAATCACACATGCAGGTCACCCACAGTGTACCGAGGGCCTCTTCCTTCAGTCTGCTATTCCAGCTCAGATGAAATAACTCACTGGGGTAACTGCCTCCATTCAAGTGGAGGCTGGAGGCTGGCAGACACTTTGTGTGGAGAGAGTGCATCTGCCTGAGGAGGCTCGTCAGGCTGGGAAGGCAGGATCCTCCAGAAGAGATGGCAGCTTCCAGAGAGGCCTCTGTGTGGATCTTCTGATGCGCAGAAAGAGGTCTCTGTAGCCATTCTGCCAATTCCCATTCTGAAAAAAAGCTGACACTGTCAAGATTCATCTTCATTGTACGAGAAGAGGTAGAATCTGATGGCTATGCTCACGGCCATTGGTGGCATAAAAGCATGGAGCCAGGGCAGGTGGTTTTTGGCATTGGCTGCTGCACTCTACGTTAGCCTGGGGGCAGCACAGATGTGGGCCACAGGTGTGCAGGTGCTGTAATTAAAAAACTACAGAAAGATGGTGGAGGTAGAGGACTGATTGAGAAATGTCTGCTCCCAGCTCAGCTTCTCTCAGAGCCGCCAGGAGTTGGTGCTCCTGGGGGCAGCCGGCTCAGTCAGGAAAGGGCTGAAACAAACCCCGAGCCTCTGTGGGTCTCCTTGCTGGCTCCACAGCTGCCGCTGGACCCCCTTCTACTCCCTTCATGAGAAGTTGGGGACCTCATGGGAATCTCTTCCTGTCTCTCTGCTCACAAGGCACCACTGGCAGCCACTAGGCTCACAGTGACTATTTTAAAAATCAATGAGCAAAAGCTCCACCCATGGCTGAATACAGGATGTTCCCCCACCCCAGAAGGCCCCCTCAACCCCTCCCAGTTAACACCCTCCAAAGGCTAACCCTCTGTGGGTTAGAATAGCATATGAGGAGTCACACCTGGTATGCCCTGGGGTGTGAGCTGGTCCTCCAGGAAGCAGATGCCCAGACAGATAGGACTGCAAATGTTTATTAAGGGAGACATTATGGAAATGACAGGGGGAGGAGACAGCACCAGCATGGAGCGTAAAACATGTTGGAAACTTTGCAAAGATATCACGGCTCAGGAGAGTCTTCTAATTTTGAAATTATCCTGTAAGATAAAAAGATTTTGGGTTATTTCCAGGTGATCCTTTTTTGTTTCCCCCCAATGTATATTTTGTCTGCTATGAAATAACTCTACCCCTGCTGAATACTTCTATGAGTGGCTGCATCTGTGTCTGGCATGTCATGGAGAATAATTACCTACAGATCGCAGATACAGATCTCAGAGGTTAACTGTGTATGCATTCCTCTGATCTCTTCATCCCATAAGGACCTGAATTTTAATCTTGGAGACAAGTACTTTCCCCTATCTTTTGTAACAGAGATTGGAAATCACAGGCCTGAGCTTTTACAACCCAATGTTTATTGAATGAACTTCAGGGAATCTTTTGCTGATCTTCTGAGTGGGAATATTTTCATTTAACCAACCAGAAGAGGGAGGGTCTAACACCTGGCAGCTATTTTGCAAGATGCTTTCTTCATAGGCTTCATCTCTTAGTCCTCAAAATGACCTCATAAGCACATACTTCTCAGCTCATTTATTAGGAAGCTGGGGCTCTGAGTCCCACTGAGAGGTGGTGACCGGACTCAGGCAGCAGGGACACAGGGAAGGGGGAATACTTTGCATGCCAAGCTTGGAAGATGGAAAGCTGGGAGTCACGGGTGGGAAGGAGAGGGTGCTGGGGATGAGATGATGCCACAGCAGCCCAAGATGGGCCTTGATTTCCCTGCCAAAGGTGGCCTCGCTTTAAAGGCCAATGCCAGAGCTCCACTGAACCTGGCACATTCTCATTATTAGTTTCTTTGGCCCCTAAAAAGGTCCCGAGGGACAGACACCTGCAAGTGGAAAATGAGATCGTGAGGGACAAAAGCTACAGTAGCTGAAGGGCTGCACAGCAGACACCTGCAAGACGAGCACGAAGACCCAGAAAAGGGACAGCTTAAGAAGGTTGTCGAAGTTCCAGGAGATACTCACATTCAGGTGATGATTGAGGTCCCAGTGGGCACTGTAGTATAACATGTTGTTGAACTTCCAGGGCACACTCACCTTCAGGAGGTGCTTGAGGTCCCACTGGACACTGTCGTATAAGAGGTTGTTGGACTTCCTGGGGACACTCACGTTCTAGAGGTGGTTGAGGTCCCAGTTCACACTGAATTATAGGATGTTGTCGATCTTCCAGGGGACACTCGCAATCTGGAGTTGGTTGATGTCCGAGTGGGCACTGTAGTATTGGAGGTTGTTGGACTTCCTGAAGACACTCACGTTCTAGAGGTGGTTGAAGTCCCAATTGACATTGTAGTATAGGTGGTTGTTGATCTTCCAGGAGACACTCAGGTTCAAGAGGTGTTTGAGGTCCCTGTGGATACTGTATTATAGGAGGTTGTTGAACTTCCAAAGGACACTCACGTTGTGGTGATGGTTGATGTCCCAGGGGGCACTGTAATATTAAAGGATGTTGGACTTCCTGGGGACACTCATGTTCAAGAGGTGGCTGAGGTCCCGGTTGACACTGTAGTATAGGTGATTGTTGATCTTCCAGGGGACACTCACGTTCTAGAGGTGGTTGAGGTCCCAGTTTACACTGAATTATAGGATGTTGTCGATCTTCCAGGGGACACTCACAATCTGGAGTTGGTTGATGTCCGAGTGGGCACTGTAGTATTGGAGGTTGTTGGAATTCCTGGGGACACTCATGTTCTGGAGGTGGTTGATATTCCAGTGGGCACTCCACTACAGGACCTGTTTGAGGGCCCAGCAAACACTCGAGTACATGAGGTGATGGAGGTTCCACATAACCTTCTTCTGGAGGTGCTTGAGGTCCCAGTGGAAATCCGAGTGGAGGCGGTGACTCACGTTCCAGAAAATCGTCACCTTCAGGAGGTGGTAGAGGTTCTGGAGGACAGGTCAGTAGATATGTTAGGATTCCTACCAAACAATCAGCTGGAGTTGGTCGTTCCGGTCCCAGAAAGCACTCTATTAGACAAGGTACCAGGGGTGGCAGCAATGCTTCAGTTGGACAAGGTGCTTCAGCTTCCAGAGGACACTCAAGTATCGGTAGTGTCTGAGGTCCCAGAGAGTTCTCAGATAAAAATGGTTGTGGTTCTGGTGAACACTCAAGTTCACGAGGTGGTTGAGGTCCCAGTTCACACTGAATTATAGGATGCTGTTGATCTTCCAGGGGACACTCACGTTCTGAAGATGGTTGATGTCCCAGTGGGCACTGTAGTATTGGAGGTGGTTGTACTTCCTGGGGACACTCATGTTCTAGAGGTGGCTGAGGTCCCAGTTCATACTGAATTATACGATGTTGTCGTTCTTCCAGGGGACTCTCAGGTTCTGGAGATGGTTGATGTCCCAGTGGGCACTGCAGTATTGGAGGTTGTTGGACTTCCTGGGGACACTCATGTTCTAGAGGTGGTTGAGGTCCTAGTTCACATTGAATTACAGGATGTTGTCGATCATCCAGGGGACACTCACATTCTGGAGATGGTTGATGTCCCAGTGGGCACTGTAGTAGTGGAAGTTGTTGAACTTCCTGGGGACACTCATGTTCTAGAGGTGGTTGGGGTCCCAGTTCACATTGAATTATACGATGTTGTCGATCTTCCCGGGGACACTCACGTTCTGGAAATGGTTGATGTCCCAGTGGGCACTGCAGGATTGGAGGTTGTTGGACTTCCTGGGGACACTCATGTTCAAGAGGTGGTTGAGGTCCCGGTTCACATTGTAGTATAGGTGGTTGTTGGTCTTCCAGGAGACACTTACGTTCACGAGGTGGTTGAGGTCCCGGTTGACATTGTATTATAGGTGGTTGTCGATCTTCCAGGGGACACTTACGTTCCGGAGATGGTTGATGTCCCAGTGGGTCCTGTAGTAGTGGAGGTTGTTGGACTTCCCGGGGACACTCACGTTCTAGAGGTGTTTGAGGTCCCAGTTCACACTGAATTATAAGATGTTGTCGATCTTCCAGGGGACACTCACAATCTGGAGTTGGTTGATGTCCGCGTGGGCACTGTGGTATTGGAGGTTGTTGGACTTCCTGGGGACACTCACGTTCTAGAGGTGGTTGAGGTCCCAATTGACATTGTAGTATAGGTGGTTGTTGATCTTCCAGGAGACACTCACATTCAAGAGGTGTTTGAGGTCCCTGTGGATACTGTATTATAGGAGGTTGTTGAACTTCCAAAGGACACTCACGTTGTGGTGATGGTTGATGTCCCAGGGGGCACTGTAATATTAAAGGATGTTGGACTTCCTGGGGACACTCACGTTCAAGAGGTGGCTGAGGTCCCGGTTGACATTGTAGTATAGGTGATTGTTGATCTTCCAGGGGACACTCACGTTCTGGAGGTGGTTGAGGTCTCAGTTCACACTGAGTTATAAGATGTTGTCTATCTTCCAGGGGACACTCACGTTCTGGAGGTGGTTGATATTCCAGTGGGCACTCCACTAAAGGACCTGTTTGAGGACCCAGCAAACACTCGAGTACACGAGGTGACGGAGGTTCCACATAACCTTCTTCTGGAGGTGCTTGAGGTCCCAATGGAAACCCGAGAGGAGGCTGTGACTCACATTCCAGAAAATCGTCACCTTCAGGAGGTGGTAGAGGTTCTGGAGGACAGGTCAGTAGATATGTTAGAATTCCTACCAAACAATCAGCTGGAGTTGGTCGTTCGGGTCCCAGAAAGCACTCTATTAGACAAGGTACCAGGGGTGGCAGCAATGCTTCAGTTGGACAAGGTGCTTCAGCTTCCAGAGGACACTCAAGTATCAGTAGTGTCTGAGGTCCCGGAGAATTCTCAGATAAAAATGTTTGTGGTTCTGGTGAACACTCAAGTTCACGAGGTGGTTGAGGTCCCAGTTCACACTGAATTATAGGATGTTGTCGATCTTCCAGGGGACACTCACGTTCTGGAGATGGCTGATGTTCCAGTGGGCACTGCAGTGTTGGAGGTTCTTGGATTTCCTGGGGACACTCATGTTCTAGAGGTGGTCGAGGTCCCAGTTCACATTGAATTATACGATGATGTTGATCTTCCCGGGGACACTCATGTTCTGGAAATGGTTGATGTGCCAGTGGGCACTGCAGGATTGGAGGCTGTTGGACTTCCTGGGGACACTTATGTTCTAGAGGTGGTTGAGGTCCCGGTTGACATTGTATTATAGGTGGTTGTCGATCTTCCAGGGGACACTTAACTTCTGGAGATGGTTGATGTCCCAGTGGGCACTGTAGTATTGGAGGTTGTTGGACTTCCTGGGGACACTCACATTCAAGAGGTGGTTGAGGTCCCGGTTGACATTGTAGTATAGGTGATTGTTGATCTTCCAGGGGACACTCATGTTTAAGAGGTGGTTGATGTCCCTGTAAATACTGTATTATAGAAGGTTGTTGAACTTCCATGGGACACTCATGTTCTGGAAATGGTTGATGTCCCCGTGGGCCCTGTAGTATTGTAGGTTGTTGGACTTCCTGGGGACACTCACGTTCTAGAGGTGGTTGAGGTCCCAGTTTACACTGAATTATAGGATGTTGTTGATGTTCCAGGGGACACTCACGTTCTGGAGGTGATTGATATTCCAGTGGGCCCTGCACTACAGGACCTGTTTGAGGGCCCAGCAAACACTCGAGTAAATGAGGTGATGGAGGTTCCACATAACCTTCTTCTGGAGGTGCTTGAGGTCCCAGTGGAAATCCGAGTGGAGGCGGTGACTCACGTTCCAGAAAATCGTCACCTTCAGGAGGTGGTAGAGGTTCTGGAGGACAGGTCAGTAGATATGTTAAACAATCAGCTGGAGTTGGTCGTTCGGATCCTAGAAAGCACTCTATTAGACAAGGTACTAGGGGTGGCAGCAATGCTTCAGTTGGACAAGGTGCTTCAGCTTCCAGAGGACACTCAAGTATCGGTAGTGTCTGAGGTCCCAGAGAGTTCTCAGATAAAAATGGTTGTGGTTCTGGTGAACACTCAAGTTCACGAGGTGGTTGAGGTCCCAGTTCACACTGAATTATAGGATGCTGTTGATCTTCCAGGGGACACTCACGTTCTGAAGATGGTTGATGTCCCAGTGGGCACTGTAGTATTGGAGGTGGTTGTACTTCCTGGGGACACTCATGTTCTAGAGGTGGCTGAGGTCCCAGTTCATACTGAATTATACGATGTTGTCGTTCTTCCAGGGGACTCTCAGGTTCTGGAGATGGTTGATGTCCCAGTGGGCACTGCAGTATTGGAGGTTGTTGGACTTCCTGGGGACACTCATGTTCTAGAGGTGGTTGAGGTCCTAGTTCACATTGAATTACAGGATGTTGTCGATCTTCCAGGGGACACTCACATTCTGGAGATGGTTGACGTCCCAGTGGGCACTGCAGTATTGGAGGTTCTTGGACTTCCTGGGGACACTCATGTTCTATAGGTGGTTGAGGTCCTAGTTCACATTGAATCACAGGATGTTGTCTATCTTCCAGGGGACACTCACATTCTGGAGATGGTTGATGTCCACGTGGGCACTGTAGTAGTGGAAGTTGTTGAACTTCCTGGGGACACTCATGTTCTAGAGGTGGTTGAGGTCCCAGTTCACATTGAATTATACGATGTTGTCGATCTTCCCGGGGACACTCACGTTCTGGAAATGGTTGATGTCCCAGTGGGCACTGCAGGATTGGAGGTTGTTGGACTTCCTGGGGACACTCATGTTCAAGAGGTGGTTGAGGTCCCGGTTCACATTGTAGTATAGGTGGTTGTTGATCTTCCAGGAGACACTTACGTTCAAGAGGTGGTGGAGGTCCCGGTTGACATTGTATTATAGGTGGTTGTCGATCTTCCACGGGACACTTACGTTCCGGAGATGGTTGATGTCCCAGTGGGTCCTGTAGTATTGGAGGTTGTTGGACTTCCCGGGGACACTCACGTTCTAGAGGTGTTTGAGGTCCCAGTTCACACTGAATTATAAGATGTTGTCGATCTTCCAGGGGACACTCACAATCTGGAGTTGGTTGATGTCCGAGTGGGCACTGTAGTATTGGAGGTTGTTGGACTTCCTGGGGACACTCACGTTCTAGAGGTGGTTGAGGTCCCAATTGACATTGTAGTATAGGTGGTTGTCGATCTTCCAGGGGACACTCACATTCTGGAGGTGGTTGATATTCCAGTGGGCACTCCACTACAGGACCAGTTTCAGGGCCCAGCAAACACTCGAGTACACGAGGTGATGGAGGTTCCACATAACCTTCTTCTGGAGGTGCTTGAGGTCCCAATGGAAACTCGAGTGGAGGCTGTGACTCACGTTCCAGAAAATCATCACCTTCAGGAGGTGGTAGAGGTTCTGGAGGACAGGTCAGTAGATATGTTAGAATTCCTACCAAACAATCAGCTGGAGTTGGTCGTTCCGGTCCCAGAAAGCACTCTATTAGACAAGGTACCAGGGGTGGCAGCAATGCTTCAGTTGGACAAGATGCTTCAGCTTCCAGAGGACACTCAAGTATTGGTAGTGTCTGAGGTCCCGGAGAATTACCAGATAAAAATGGTTGTGGTTCTGGTGAGCACTCAAGTTCACGAGGTGGTTGAGGTCCCAGTTCACACTGAATTATAGGATGTTGTCGATCTTCCAGGGGACACTCACGTTCTGGAGATGGCTGATGTTCCAGTGGGCACTGCAGTATTGGAGGTTCTTGGATTTCCTGGGGACACTCATGTTCTAGAGGTGGTCGAGGTCCCAGTTCACATTGAATTTTACGATGTTGTTGATCTTCCCGGGGACACTCATGTTCTAGAAATGGTTGATGTCCCAGTGGGCACTGCAGGATTGGAGGTTGTTGGACTTCCTGGGGACACTCATGTTCTAGAGGTGGTTGAGGTCCCGCTTGACATTGTATTATAGGTGGTTGTCGATCTTCCAGGGGACACTTAAGTTCTGGAGATGGTTGATGTCTCAGTGGGCACTGTAGTATTGTAGGTTGTTGGACTTCCTGGGGAAACTCATGTTCAAAAGGTGGTTGAGGTCCCGGTTGACATTGTAGTATAGGTGGTTGTTGATCTGCCAGGAGACACTCATGTTCAAGAGGTGTTTGAGGTCCCAGTTCACACTGAATTATAGGAGGTTGTCGATCTTCCAGGGGACACTCACGTTCTGGAGATGGTTGATGTCCCAGTGGGCACTGTAGTATTGGAGGTTGTTGGACTTCCTGGGGACACTCACGTTCTAGAGGTGGTTGAGGTCCCAGTTCACACTGAATTATAGGAGGTTGTCGATCTTCCAGGGGACACTCACGTTCTGGAGGTGGTTGATATTCCAGTGGGCACTCCACTGCAGGACCTGTTTGAGGGCCCAGCAAACACTCAAGTACACGAGGTGATGGAGGTTCCACATAACCTTCTTCTGGAGGTGCTTGAGGTCCCAGTGGAAACCCGAGTGGAGGCTGTGACTCACGTTCCAGGAAATCCTCACCTTCAGGAGGTGGTAGAGGTTCTGGAGGACAGGTCAGTAGATATGTTAGGATTCCTACCAAACAATCAGCTGGAGTTGGTCGTTCGGGTCCCAGAAAGCACTCTATTAGACAAGGTACCAGGGGTGGCAGCAATGCTTCAGTTGGACAAGGTGCTTCAGCATCCAGAGGGCACTCAAGTATCGGTAGTGTCTGAGGTCCCGGAGAATTCTCAGATAAAAATGGTTGTGGTTCTGGTGAACACTCAAGTTCACGAGGTGGTTGAGGTCCCAGTTCACACTGAATTATAGGATGTTGTCGATCTTCCAGGGGACTCTCACATTCTGGAGATGGTTGATGTCCCAGTGGGCACTGTAGCATTGGAAATTGTTGAACTTCCTGGGGACACTCATGTTCTAGAGGTGGTTGAGGTCCCAGTTCACATTGAATTATACAATGTTGTTGATCTTCCTGGGGACACTCACATTCTGTAAATGGTTGATGTCCCAGTGGGCACTGCAGGATTAGAGGTTGTTGGACTTCCTGGGGACACTCATGTTCTAGAGGTGGTTGAGGTCCCGGTTGACATTGTAGTATAGGTGGTTGTCGATCTTCCAGGGGACACTTAAGTTCTGGAGATGGTTGATGTCTCAGTGGGCACTGTAGTATTGAAGGTTGTTGGACTTCCTGGGGAAACTCATGTTTAAAAGGTGGTTGGGGTCCCGGTTGACATTGTAGTATAGGTGGTTGTTGATCTTCCAGGAGACACTCACATTCAAGAGGTGGCTGAGGTTTCGGTTGACAGTGTAGTATAGCTGATTGTTGATCTTTCAAGGGACACTCACGTTTAAGAGGTGGTTGAGGTCCCTGTGGATACTGCATTATAGGAGGTTGTTGAACTTTCATGGGACACTCACGTTCTGGAGATGGTTGTTGTCCCAGTGGGCACTGTGTTATTGGAGGTTGTTGGACTTCCTGGGGAAACTCATGTTCAAAAGGTGGTTGAGGTCCCGGTTGACACTGTAGTATAGGTGGTTGTTGATCTTCCAGGAGACACTCACGTTCAAGAGGTGTTTGAGGTCCCAGTTCACACTGAATTATAGGAGGTTGTCGATCTTCCAGGGGACACTCACATTCTGGAGGTGGTTGATATTCCAGTGGGCCCTGCACTACAGGACCTGTTTGAGGGCCCAGCAAACACTCGAGTACACGAGGTGATGGAGGTTCCATATAACCTTCTTCTGGAGGTGCTTGAGGTCCCAGTGGAAACCTGAGAGGAGGCTGTGACTCACGTTCCAGAAAATCGTCACCTTCAGGAGGTGGTAGAGGTTCTGGAGGACAGGTCAGTAGATATGTTAGAATTCCTACCAAACAATCAGCTGGAGTTGGTCGTTCGGGTCCTAGAAAGCACTCTATTAGACAAGGTACCAGGGGTGGCAGCAATGCTTCAGTTGGACAAGGTGCTTCAGTTTCCAGAGGACACTCAAGTATCGGTAGTGTCTGAGGTCCTGGAGAATTCTCTGATAAAAATATTTGTGGTTCTGGTGAACACTCAAGTTCACGAGGTGGTTGAGGTCCCAGTTCACACTGAATTATAGGATGTTGTCGATCTTCCAGGGGACACTCATTTTCTGGAGATGGTTGATGTTCCAGTGGGCACTGCAGTATTAGAGGTTGTTGGACTTCCTGGGGACACTCATGTTCTAGAGGTGGTTGAGGTCCCAGTTCACATTGAATTACAGGATGTTGTCGATCTTCCAGGGGACTCTCACATTCTGGAGATGGTTGATGTCCCAGTGGGCACTGTAGTATTGGAAATTGTTGAACTTCCTGGGGACACTCATGTTCTAGAGGTGGTGGAGGTCCCAGTTCACATTGAATTATACGATGTTGTTGTTCTTCCCGGGGACACTCACATTCTGGAAATGGTTGGTGTCCCAGTGGGCACTGCAGGATTGGAGGTTGTTGGACTTCCTGGGGACACTCATGTTCTAGAGGTGGTTGAGGTCCCGGTTGACATTGTATTATAGGTGGTTGTCGATCTTCCAGGGGACACTTAAGTTCTGGAGATGGTTGATGTCTCAGTGGGCACTGTAGTATTGTAGGTTGTTGGACTTCCTGGGGAAACTCATGTTCCAAAGGTGGTTGAGGTCCAGGTTGACATTGTAGTATAGGTGGTTGTTGATCTTCCAGGAGACACTCACGTTCAAGAGGTGTTTGAGGTCCCAGTTCACACTGAATTATAGGAGGCTGTCGATCTTCCAGGGGACACTCTGGAGGTGGTTGATATTCCAGTGGGCCCTGCACTACAGGACATGTTTGAGGGCCCTGCAAACACTCGAGTACACGAAGTGATGGAGGTTCCACATAACCTTCTTCTGGAGGTGCTTGAGGTCCCAGTGGAAGCCCGAGTGGAGGCTGTGACTCACGTTCCAGAAAATCGTCACCTTCAGGAGGTGGTAGAGGTTCTGGAGGACAGGTCAGTAGATATGTTAGGATTCCTACAAAACAATCAGCTGGAGTTGGTCGTTCGAGTCCCAGAAAGCACTCTATTAGACAAGGTACCAGGGGTGGCAGCAATGCTTCAGTTGGACAAGGTGCTTCAGTTTCCAGAGGACACTCAAGTATCGGTAGTGTCTGAGGTCCTGGAGAATTCTCAGATAAAAATATTTGTGGTTCTGGTGAACACTCAAGTTCACGAGGTGGTTGAGGTCCCAGTTCACACTGAATTATAGGATGTTGTCGATCTTTCAGGGGACACTCACGTTCTGGAGATGGCTGATGTTCCAGTGGGCACTGCAGTATTGGAGGTTTTTGGACTTCTTGGGGACACTCATGTTCTAGAGGTGGTTGAGGTCCCAGTTCACATTGAATTATACAATGTTGTTGATCTTCCCGGGGACACTCACGTTCTGGAAATGGTTGATGTCCCAGTGGGCACTGCAGGATTGGAGGCTGTTGGACTTCCTGGCGAAACTCGTGTTCAAAAGGTGGTTGTGGTCCCAGTTGACATTGTAGTATAGGTGGTTGTTGATCTTCCAGGAGACACTCACATTCAAGAGGTGGTTGAGGTCCCTGTGGATACTGTATTATAGGAGGTTGTTGAACTTCCACAGGACACTCACATTCTGCTGATGGTTGATGTCCCAGTGGGCACTGTAGTATTGGAGGTTGTTGGACTTCCTGGGGACACTCACATTCAAGAGGTGGCTGAGGTCCCGGTTGACATTGTAGTATAGGTGATTGTTGATCTTTCAGAGGACATTCACGTTTCAGAGGTGGTTGAGGTCCCTGTGGATACTGCATTATAGGAGGTTGTTGAACTTTCATGGGACACTCACGTTCTGGAGATGGTTGTTGTCCCAGTGGGCACTGTGTTATTGGAGGTTGTTGGACTTCCTGGGGACACTCACGTTCTAGAGGTGTTTGAGGTCCCAGTTCACACTGAATTATAGGATGTTGTCGATCTTCCAGGGGACACTCACGTTCTGGAGGTGGTTGATAATCCAGTGGGCCCTGTACTACAGGACCTGTTTCAGGACCCAGCAAACACTCGAGTACACGAGGTGATTGAGGTTCCACATAACCTTCTTCTGGAGGTGCTTGAGGTCCCAGTGGAAACCCGAGAGGAGGCTGTGACTCACGTTCCAGAAAATCGTCACCTTCAGGAGGTGGTAGAGGTTCTGGAGGACAGGTCAGTAGATATGTTAGAATTCCTACCAAACAATCAGCTGGAGTTGGTCGTTCGGGTCCTAGAAAGCACTCTATTAGACAAGGTACCAGGGGTGGCAGCAATGCTTCAGTTGGACAAGGTGCTTCAACTTCCAGAGGACACTCAAGTATCGGTAGTGTCTGAGGTCCCGGAGAATTATCAGATAAAAATGGTTGTGGCTCTGGTGAACACTCAACTTCATGACGTGGTTGAGGTCCCAGTTCACACTGAATTATATGATGTTGTCGATCTTCCCGGGGACACTCACGTTCTGGAAATGGTTGATGTCCCAGTGGGCACTGCATGATTGGAGGTTGTTGGACTTCCTGGGGACACTCATGTTCAAGAGGTGGTTGAGGTCCCGGTTGACATTGTAGTATAGGTGGTTGTTGATCTTCCAGGAGACACTCACGTTCAAGAGGTGTTTGAGGTCCCTGTGGATACTGTATTATAGGAGGATGTTGAACTTCCACAGGACACTCACGTTCTGGTGATGGTTGATGTCCCAGTGGGCACTGTAGTATTGAAGTTTGTTCAACTTCCTGGGAACACCCACATTCAAGACGTGGTTGAGGTCCAAGTTGATATTGTATTATAGGTGATTGTTGATCTTCCAGGGGACACTCACGTTTAAGAGGTGGTTGAGGTCCCTGTGGATACTGCAGTATAGGAGGTTGTTCAACTTTCATGGGACACTCACGTTCTGGAGATGGTTGTTGTCCCAGTGGGCACTGTGTTATTGGAGATTGTTGGACTTCCTCGGGACACTCACGTTCTAGAGGTTGTTGAGGTCTCAGTTCACACTGAGTTATAGGATGTTGTCGATCTTCCAGGGGACACTCACGTTCTGGAGGTGGTTGATATTCCAGTGGGCACTCCACTACAGGACCTGTTTGAGGACCCAGCAAACACTCAAGTACACGAGGTGATGGAGGTTCCACATAACCTTCTGGAGGTGCTTGAGGTCCCAGTGGAAATCCGAGTGAAGGCTGTGACTCACGTTCCAGAAAATTGTCACCTTCAGGAGGTGGTAGAGGTTCTGGAGGACAGGTCAGTAGATATGTTAGAATTCCTACCAAACAATCAGCTGGAGTTGGTCGTTCCGGTCCCAGAAAGCACTCTATTAGACAAGGTACCAGGGGTGGCAGCAATGCTTCAGTTGGACAAGGTGCTTCAGTTTCCAGAGGACACTCAAGTATCGGTAGTGTCTGAGGTCCCGGAGAATTCTCAGATAAAAATGTTTGTGGTTCTGGTGAACACTCAAGTTCACGAGGTGGTTGAGGTCCCAGTTCACACTGAATTATAGGATGTTGTCGATCTTCCAGAGGACACTCACGTTCTGTAGATGGTTGATGTCCCAGTGGGCACTGCATTATTGGAGGTTGTTGGACTTCCTGGGGACACTCATGTTCTAGAGGTGGTTGAGGTCCTAGTTCACATTGAATTACAGGATGTTGTCGATCTTCCAGGGGACTCTCACATTCTGGAGACGGTTGATGTCCCAGTGGGCACTGTGGTATTGGAAATTGTTGAACTTCCTGGGGACACTCATGTTCTAGAGGTGCTTGAGGTCCCAGTTCACATTGAATTATACAATGTTGTTGATCTTCCCGGGGACACTCACGTTCTGGAAATTGTTGATGTCCCAGTGGGCACTGCAGGATTGGAGGCTGTTGGACTTCCTGGGGACACTCATGGTCTAGAGGTGGTTGAGGTCCCGGTTGACATTGTATTATAGGTGGTTGTCGATCTTCCAGGGGACACTTACGTTCCGGAGATGGTTGATGTCCCAGTGGGTTCTGTAGTATTGGAGGTTGTTGGACTTCCTGGGGACACTCATGTTCTAGAGTTGGTTGAGGTCCCAGTTCACACTGAATTATAGGATGTTGTCGATCTTCCAGGGGACACTCACAATCTGTAGTTGGTTGATGTCCGAGTGGGCATTGTAGTATTGGAAGTTGTTGGACTTCCTGGGGACACTCATGTTCTAGAGGTGGTTGAGGTCCCAATTGACATTGTAGTATAGGTGGTTGTTGATCTTCCAGGAGACACTCACGTTCAAGAGGTGTTTGAGGTCCCTGTGGATACTGTATTATAGGAGGTTGTTGAACTTCCAAAGGACACTCACGTTGTGGTGATGGTTGATGTCCCAGGGGGCACTGTAATATTGGAGGATGTTGGACTTCCTGGGGACACTCACGTTCAAGAGGTGGCTGAGGTCCCGGTTGACATTGTAGTATAGGTGATTGTTGATTTTCCAGGGGACACTCACGTTCTAGAGGTGTTTGAGGTCCCAGTTCACACTGAATTATAGGATGTTGTCGATCTTCCAGGGGACACTCATGTTCTGGAGGTGGTTGATATTCCAGTGGGCACTCCACTACAGGACCTGTTTGAGAGCCCAGGAAACACTCGAGTACACGAGGTGATGGAAGTTCCACATAACCTTCTTCTGGAGGTGCTTGAGGTCCCTGTGGAAACCTGAGTGGAGGCTGTGACTCACGTTCCAGAAAATCGTCACCTTCAGGAGGTGGTAGAGGTTCTGGAGGACAGGTCAGTAGATATGTTAGAATTCCTACCAAACAATCAGCTGGAGTTGGTCGTTCCGGTCCCAGAAAGCACTCTATTAGACAAGGTACCAGGGGTGGCAGCAATGCTTCAGTTGGACAAGGTGCTTCAGCTTCCAGAGGACACTCAAGTATCAGTAGTGTCTGAGGTCCTGGAGAATTCTCAGATAAAAATGTTTGTGGTTCTGGTGAACACTCAAGTTCACGAGGTGGTTGAGGTCCCAGTTCATACTGAATTATAGGATGCTGTTGATCTTCCAGGGGACACTCACTTTCTGGAGATGGCTGATGTTCCAGTGGGCACTGCAGTATTGGAGGTTGTTGGATTTCCTGGGGACACTCATGTTCTAGAGGTGGTCGAGGTCCCAGTTCACATTGAATTATATGATGTTGTTGATCTTCCCGGGGACATTCACGTTCTGGAAATGGTTGATGTCCCAGTGGGCACTGCAGGATTGGAGGCTGTTGGACTCCCTGGGGACACTCATGTTCTAGAGGTGGTTGAGGTCCTAGTTCACATTGAATTACAGGATGTTGTCGATCTTCCAGGGGACTCTCACATTCTGGAGACGGTTGATGTCCCAGTGGGCACTGTAGTATTGGAAATTGTTGAACTTCCTGGGGACACTCATGTTCTAGAGGTGGTCGAGGTCCCAGTTCACATTGAATTATACAATGTTGTTGATCTTCCCGGGGACACTCACGTTCTGGAAATGGTTGATGTCCCATTGGGCACTGCAGGATTGGAGGCTGTTGGACTTCCTGGGGACACTCATGTTCTAGAGGTGGTTGAGGTCCCGGTTGACATTGTATTATAGGTGGTTGTCGATCTTCCAGGGGACACTTAAGTTCTGGAGATGGTTGATGTCTCAGTGGGCACTGTAGTATTGGAGGTTGTTGGACTTCCTGGGGAAACTCATGTTCAAAAGGTGGTTGAGGTCCCGGTTGACATTGTAGTATAGGTGGTTGTTGATCTTCCAGGAGACCCTCACGTTCAAGAGATGGTTGAGGTCCCTGTGGATACTGTATTATAGGAGGATGTTGAACTTCCACAGGACACTCACGTTCTGGTGATGGTTGATGTCCCAGTGGGCACTGTAGTATTGGAGGTTGTTGGACTTCCTGGGGACACTCACGTTCTAGAGGTGGTTGAGGTCCCAGTTCACACTGAGTTATAGGATGTTGTCGATCTTCCAGGGGACACTCATGTTCTGGAGGTGGTTGATATTCCAGTGGGCACTCCACTACAGGACCTGTTTGAGGACCCAGCAAACACTCGAGTACACGAGGTGATGGAGGTTCCACATAACCTTCTTCTGGAGGTGCTTGAGGTCCCAGTGGAAACCCGAGTGGAGGCTGTGACTCACGTTCCAGAAAATCGTCACCTTCAGGAGGTGGTAGAGGTTCTGGAGGACAGGTCAGTAGGTATGTTAGAATTCCTACCAAACAGTCAGCTGGAGTTGGTGGTTCAGGTCCAAGAAAACTTTCTATTAGACAAGGTACCAGGGGTGGCAGCAATGCTTCAGTTGGACAAGGTGCTTCAGCTTCCAGAAGACACTCGGGTATCGGTAGTGTCTGAGGTCCCGTAGAATTCTCAGATAAAAATGGTTGTGGTTCCGGTGAACACTCAAGTTCACGAGGTGGTTGATGTCCCAGTGGACATTGTAGTATTGCAGAATGTTGGATTTCCAGGGGACCCTCACATTCAGGAGGTGGTTGGGGTCCCAGTGGATACTGTATTATAGGAGGTTGTTGATCTCCCAGGGGATGCTCACTTTCAAGCGGTAGTTGAGGTTCCAGTGGACATTGTAGTATAGGAGATTGTTTAAGTTCCAGAGGATACTCAAGGTTACAAGGTAATTGTGTTTCCAGGGGACACTCAACTGGAGTATGTTGCTGAGGTTCCTTCAGAATCTCACTTGCGTGAGCTGTCTGAGATCTCAAGAAACCTTCAGCTGGAGAAGGTGTTTCAGGCTCCAGAGGATGTTCCAGTGAAGGAGGTATCAGAGCTTCTAGAGAACCTTCAGTTGCAGAGAGTGATCGAGGTCCCAGAGGACCCCGAGGTGGAGGAGGTGCCTGGCCAGCCATGAAGTAGGGTAGGTTGGGCCATTGTGGCAGAGGACGAGGTTCCTCTTCAGCCATGTTGACCTGCAAGGCAGAGAAGGAAATGTTTTGAAATCTTTTAACATGAAAAACACCAACATGCACACAAGCTGTACCTGGTGCTGCAGGTGACGGTCCCTTGCCCCTTCCCCTCTTCAGCTTCTAAATGGGAGCATCAGTGCCATTAAGCATCCATTCCACCAAGTCCTGCTGACAGCAGGGGAGTGAAAACAAGCCATGGGGACAAATGGTTGTCCCCATGCCACTGTGTCTGTCTGCAAATGTAGGCAGGCTGAAGGCCTGTCCCACGGAAGACAGAGTCACTATGCAGCAATAAAGAAGCACGTTTCTGACACGGGGCTGTCTATGTCTATCCGCATTCTTATATAATCGGCACTGGCAATTTGTGACGGGTTCTATGGTAGAGACTCAACAATGGCCAATGCGGGTTATATTGCAAGTCGTCACGGCGGGGTATTGGAAAAGTTTTAAATTAGCCATAATCACACCTCGGATAAACCTCATTGGCTACAGTACTGGTGCTATGCAAAGCTAAGTCCCAGCTGTTCTTAAGAAAATGTTCTCCAGGCTTTTCATGTTCTGTCGCTGATTCTCAGAACTCTGCAAGGTCCGCGTGACCACCCTGCTGCAAAGCTAAGAAAACGGAGGCTCCCAAAGGAAGGAGAATGTGCACCCAGGTCACACCGCTTGCGGGAGGCAGAGTGGAAGTCAATTCCAGCTCTGCCGGCAGGACCTCTCATCCCCCCTCTGCTTCACTTCTTGACAAAGGCTCTTCTCCACTCTGGAGGTGCCACCTGTGGGCACAGAGATCTCTGGGGAGATGTGGATTCCTGAAGACCTGCAGGGGAATTGGGAGAGGGTTTTCTGACGCAACAATCCTACGTACAGATGTCAGTTTGGCACAGCTATCATATTTCTTTTAACTCCCAGGTCATAACAACTTCTAAGTGCACTATGACATAAAAAATAATATTTTTTCCCATGGAAAAATGAGGTGGTACTTCTAAACAACAGACGTTTTAAAAATGTGCTTGATTGTAGGTGTACAAGTCCCAGGATGTGTGATCAGAGGACTCCGCAGCTGTCAAAACTGTAGAGGCCCATGAGAACCAGCCTCACTGAGCATCGCTGAAGGTCTTCATTGGGAATTGTCCTTGTAGGTAATGAGCGACGTTCACTCTTCACTTCCTCACAGCCAGGGCACATTCTCTGTTGCAAATGAGGAACCTCTTATACCTAGAATGTGAGATCTAGGGTGCCACTGGGTGGCAGTGGGAGCAACATTGCACAACACAGATGGGACGATGATGAATTATGGCATGGACTTTGTCCGAGAGTATTCAAAATGGCACAACGCACATACTAATTAATGTTGGATTAATGAGTTTTCACTTCCAGGATTACGGCAGATATTCTGAATGCTAATCGCCTACCTTATAGAAGAAGATAAATAAAATCACAGCACAAAACAAAACCCGACATATTTTGGAAACAGGACCCCACAATATTTGGAGTCGAATGGATCCGTCAGGATTCCCTGGGCCATGAGACCTCCAGCAGTGGAGCTCAGTGGCATTGCCTCGTGTTATTTCTGCAAACAGAACAGTGGAAGCCCTTTAGTCCTCGGCCCCTAAGCATTCATGGCTTCTGGCGGTGCCAACAAAGATGACCAGCTGGGAATGGAGAAGCCGGGAAGCTCATGGGGAAGATTTTGCTTTGAAAAAGGCCAGACGGAAAAGGCACCCAGAACCCGCAGAGCAGAGGCCAAGCCAGGAGAGGGCGCTGTGGGAAAAGACTAAAGTGTCCTGTAATAGGCAGAGTGAAAAGGACTCCAACATTTACCTTTTCTTCATTTCTGATAAAACAGCACAAAGGTGAAAAAAGATATTTTTGACCCAAAGCGCTGTTGACATCCTATTAAACAAACATGAACCTACTTAATTTTCATTCTGTAAATGGTAGATATTTTCATTATTCTTAGGGTAAGAAATCATTTCCCTGATTTGTTTTCTGTAAAATTCAATATTCATAATGAAGTTCAGAACCACGAATTGTTCTAAATAATTTCGTATTTATGGTTACAAGTTTACCTCTATAGGAAGTTCGTATACTCACACCAAGGCCAGTTATCCACAACAAAACGGCAAGGGAACAAATTCCCAGGGAGACAGCAATGATAATAAGCATCCAGAGAAGTTCAGAAAAGCCAGGCCCGGGATACAAACTTGCAAGCAGGACATCGATGACCTGGAATAATAACAAATGGAATAATGAGAGGCCCGATGACCTTTACCATATTTCAGTCACAAGGAATCATCCTTAGAAACCCTCAACCTCCTCCAAGAGGTAACCACACCCCTCAGCTATCACCAGGGGATCCCACTGCTTCAAGAAGGATTGGAAGTTAACAGTCTGATGGTTCTTGCATGGCTGGTAGTGTCTGTAAGCATTGTGAATGTGGGGTGTCTTTTCTCTTGGTCCAATGCAGGGATGTCCAATCTTTTGGCTTCCCTGGGCCATCATAAAAGAAGGAGCATTGTCTTGAACTGCACATAAAATACACTAACATGAAAAATAGCTGATAACTTTAAAAAATGGTAAAAAAAATCACAATGTTTTGAGAAAGTTTACCAATTTGTGTTGGGCCACATTCAAAGCTGCCCTGGGCTGCATGCGGCCTGTCACCTGACGGTTGGACAAGCTAGGTATAAAGTAATTGTCGTTGCTTTAAAGTTACTTCCTTTTTAAATTGACATACAACATTGGAAGTATTTATTAGGTGTCACATGATAAAAGAATCCAGAATCCCTGTGAATCACACTTCTTTCTTAGATTACATCAATCTCTGCCATTTAAAGAATAAGTTGCTGTGTGCGGTGGCTCATGTCTGTAATCCCAGCACTTTGGGAGGCCAAGGCAGGGGAATCACTAGGTCAGGCGATCAAGACCATCCTGGCCAACATGGCGAAACGCCGTCTCTACTAAAAATACACAAATTAGCTGGGTGTGGTGGCACGTGCCTGTAGCCTCAGCTACTCAGGAGGCTGAGGCAGGAGAATTGCTTGAACCAGAGAATCGGAGGTTGCAATGAGCCAAGATCGTGCCACTGGAGTGTCACCACTCCAGCCTGGTGACAGAGCAAGACTTCATCTAAAATAAATAAATAAATAAGTAAAACAGCATAAGACAAAAAAACTATAATAAAGAGATGACAGGCTGGGTGTGGTGGCTCATGCCTATAATCCCAGCATTTTGGGAGGCTGAGGCAGGTGGATCACGAGGTCAAGAGATCGAGATCATCCTAGTCAACATGGTGAAACCCCATCTCTACTAAAAATACAAAAATTAGCTGGGCATAGTGGCACAGGCCTGTAGTCACAGCTACTTGGGAGGCTGAGGCAGGAGAATTGCTTGAACCCAGGAGGCAGAGTTTGTGGTGAGCCGAGATCGCACCATTGCACTCCAGCCTGGGTAACAACAGCAAAACTCTGTCTCAAAAAAGTAATAATTAAAAAATAAAATAAAATAAAGAGATGACTTCATTCAGAAATAAGTATAAAAATACCCAAGTAGGGATCATGAACATGGCATGAATAGCTAAGATTGTTGGTATTAATTCCATTAGACTCTTAGTGAATGAAGACAAAGACTTGCCCAGAGTAAGTTGAGACGGCTTCTGAGAACGTTGCTACATCGATTCCTCAGGATTGAACTGTATGCTCTTGAAAATATCTTAATTTTAAGTGTTTCTTTCAAGATGGTGAATTAAACAGATAGGTATCCAACAGGGTGGACTGAGCATTTGCAGAGTCCAAAATGGAAAGGACCGAGTTAGAGATCCGTGCAACAATGGGAGCGATTTCAGAAACGTTGTGTTGAGCAGAATCAGACAGACACCAGAGAGTACCTAGGGCATGGCATGCATCTGTAGATGTCAAATTCCAGAAGAAGCAAACTCTACCTCTCATGAGAAAGGGATTGGCTGGGAAAAGGAGAGTTCAGTTTCTGGGGTGACATAATACTGTAGATCTTGAAAGGGGTTGGGATATGCCGGTGTGTGTACTTCTCCAAGTTAGCAATGTTACACTTCAGATTTGTATCGTCTCTTCTTTGCAATTCTTCTTAAGCAGAAATTTTTATAAAGAAATATTGAATTCAGTTAACGTTAGCTTTGCTAAACTATTCAACAGGAAGTGTGCTGACGTCTCCAATTCATTGGAAATACATCTAAAATAAGATGGGCTGATGAATGGATAGAGTGGCGGAAAGATGGGTGGAGATGTGTTGTCATGCTCCTTAAAATGTTAACAAATCAATGCTGTATTTAAACATTGTTACAACTAAATGTTGATGGTCATTGCCAAATCACTGTGTCATGTCCGTAATTTTCCCCCTTTAAACAAGAGTTCCAAAATAATGATTATTTACGTTCTATATGTTTGAACAATTTTATACACAATATCAATGGAATGTTTTTTCTGTCAGTTGGTCTCGGTGTTGCAGAATGCAACTATATACATTTTTAATACATTGCTGCTTTTTTGCAGAGGCACTGCTTTCCAGTTTTTGCTCTCATGACAAAGGCCAAATGGAAAAAACAAGACTTCTCTCTCTTTCCAAGGGAGAAGCTAGACACACTGCCATATATATGTCCATACAAAGGAATGTTACTTAGCAATAAAACAAAAAGCAAACTTAATATTTAAAACAATATGAATCCATGTGAACATGATTCTGCTGATTTTACAGAATTCAGAACAGCAAGAATACCTCTCCTGTATGACACCATGACAGGAAAGGGCAGTGCAGGGGGAGGACAGTAGGATGGAGGAGAAGGACAGATGGATTCCAAAGGAGGAGGAGGGAACTTTGACGAGGGAGGAATGTGTTTAGTATCTTGAATCTGGAATGTGGTGCTGTTTTGACTGCTGTATCCATATGTAAAAGTCAGCAAGTCGGATTCTTTACAAAGAGGCTGTTTAATATACAGGTAGGAAGGAAACGTGATACATACACTATTAGTTTTTAATGATCTGAACAAACATGGCAAATATATTTTAAAAATAATTATAGAACTTTACCTAGAAATTATAATTCAATTAAAAATGGAGATAAGAAAATACAAACTCACACTGGTTGGGAAGCCAAAGTCTTTTAAATATTTAGAAATTTGTGTTACATTCTTTGGAATAGATCCAAAAATATGCCAACAATATGTGGAAAAATGAGAAAAATATAAGAAAAAAGTCTTAAAATTATAGATGAGAATACTACCTAAATATATGTTTATCTATACAGAACTGAGAGTGGACGGCTGCTGTAATAAGAACACCCAGGTTATATTCCAACAACAATAAACACAGATTGTTCTTTAGCCCAAACTTCTAGATCACTTGAGTCCAGGATGTTCACCACTGCTGAAACGGGCACTTCATGTCAGATTTTCCAAGTCCAGAAAGACTTGCATCACATAATCCTCTTGGAATTGTGATTGAAACTGTGAGAATTGAGGTCAGTTAAAAACACAATGCCAAGTAACCACCAGCAAGAGTTCACCTTCGTATTTTGGAGCATTGAGCATAAAGCACTCAGGAGCAACCTTGGAAATCCACGTGGAAAGCAACACAAACTTTCTGGAACGTAGGCCACCACTACATTAGGCACATATAGTGTTTACAAACACTGGATTTACAAGCATTGGAGGAAAAAATAAATTCAAAATGCCATTCAGACCAATCCACATACCAAGACTCAGTTTTGTGCAAATGAAACCTCTCTAGAAAGCAGCCTGTGAGCTCTGTGGCACTTTTGTCTTCAGCCTCACAGTGGAAGTGACTGCAGCCTGGCTCCTGGGAGGGACGCACTGTCCCTGAGGAGCCTCCTTCTGAAAGTGAGCAGGAGCTCTGGGCACAGTGGTGACAGATGTGGATCAAATGCACAAAAGAACAAAGGCCATCTTGTCATTGACCAGGAAAGCATCCCCGTCCTGGGCACTGTTGTCACATCTGACAACTATCTGGATGCAGGTTACCGGCAGTGGGCTCCTACCCAGATTAGGTCCCATGGGCCAGGAAGAGCTTAGGTTCTGACAGTTGATGGCCATGAGCAAGGGTGGAGGTGGAAAATGCAATGAGAAAAAATTATCCAAGTCTTCAAAGGTGAGGTAGGGAACGAGAGTTTAACTGATCTATAAAAATGCAGCCAGGTAAAGGGAAACAAACTCCAACAACGATTAGCAAGACATTTCCTCCTTCATAGACTCAAAAGAGTCAGGAGACTCTTCTTTGATTGGAGGATTCCTGTGGGGCGATCCTGCCGCCATGCAGTGGCTGCTCCCCATCACTAGACTTTCCAGATCCCTAAGAATCTGTGCATGCAGCTTAGAACAAATACTCTGGAGTCTAGCAGGGGCCGGGCCCTCTCCTGAGTGTGGTGGAGAGGTGTTATAATGTGAGGGTGAAACCACTCCAAATAGCAACCTGTGATTCTTTCTATTTGGACACTCAGAAGGGCTTTAAGACCCTTTCTGCTTTGGGAAATCAATGATCTGCACAAGACACATTTGACAGAACAAAGGACAATACAGTCCTTGTCCACATCCTGGTCATGTCACTCCTGGTGACTTCCGCCTTGCAAACACCCCAGCAGGGGGCAACCCTTTTCTGGCCCATCTGATCGGCTTCTGGGGCTCCCATCACTCTGATTGGACACTGACTCCCTGGAGGCAGCTCCCAAGCGCAGAAGACACGGATGACTCAGAAGTTCCTAGAAAGTCATCAAACCAGATGACACAGAACCCAAACGACATTTCACTTTGTTTTGTTTGAGTCAAGGTCTCACTCTGTCACTGAGGCTGGAGCGCAGTGGGGTGATCTCGGCTGACTTCCCCCTCCACCTCCTGGGCCCATGCGATCCTCCCACCTCAGTCTCTCCAGTTGCTGGGACTACAGGCCCATGCTGCCAGGTCTCACTCTATTTTGTGTGTGTGTGTGTGTGTGTGTGTGTGTGTGTGTGTGTGTAATGATGGGGTTTCACTCTGTCCCAGGCTGGTCTGAAATTCCTGGACTCAAGTGATCTGCCCACCTCGGCCCCCAAAGTACTGGATGGTAGGTGCGACTGTGTCATTTCAGTCCCGTGACACATCCCAAAGAAAAGGAAGGGACCCGCGGGTCCAGTGTCTCCTACCTGAGTGCAATGATGGCTGGGAAACCCCAGCACGAGGAGCCAAAAGAGCAACCACCGCAGCCACATGTCCTGGTCCTCTCAGGGCCCCATGAGGCGGCCAGAACAGAGGTGGGGGTGGCTTAGGGCTGTGGGAGGGAAGGGGAGAAGGATGGGGATGGGGGACGGAAGGGGAAAGGATGGGGGTGGGGGAGAGGGAGGGAGGAAAAAGGGAGCTGGGGGAGGGAGGGGAGGAGATGGAGTGAGGGGAGGGAAGGGGGTTGTTGGGCGCCTGGAGCAGGAGGAGAAAGGGGTCTGGGAAAGGATGGGGTTCAAACGAAGTCCTCAAGCGTGGGTGGGAGATTCAGCTACGGGTCAGTGGGAAAGTCGATCAGCGAAGCAGCCGGACGCGTGGGTTGAGGCAGCGGGAGGCTCAGGAGTGGTTGGAGGGAGACCAGGGCTCTGGTGTGCACCAAAGCTGCTCCTGTCTGGGCGTTGCCTTAGCAACCCTGGGCCTTTGTACTCCCCCTCCACCAATCCCTGGCCCCGGTGGCTGTTACCTCACAGTGGACATTCCACGAGGTGCCCATAATCTGACAACGCCCATCCCCCACCTGGTGGGGGGGCAACATGGGGGCCTCATCTCTACACAATGTGACAAGTTAGCCAGGCATGGTGGCCTGCAGCCCTGGTCCCAGCTACTCAGAAGGCTGAGGTGGGAGGATTGTGTCAACCTCAGAAAGCAAGACCCTGCTTGAAATAAAAGAAATTAAGTAAAACACAAATACAAAGAAAAATATTCTTTATTCACAAATTGGTAGAATTAATATTGTGAAAATGTCTATCTTACATAAAGTGATCTACAGATTTAATGCGTCCCTATCAAACTACCAATGGCATTCTCCACATTCAAAAGGAACATCCCAGTTCATCCTGTTCTCACAAAAGAAAACCCTCTATAGTCAAAATAATTAAAAAAAAAAAAAAAACCAAAGCTGAAGGCATCACAGAGCCTGCCTTTGAAATATACTACAAAGCCATAATAAGCAAAAGTGTATGGTACTGGCATAAAAATAGACACATAGGCCAAAAGAGCAGAATAGAGAGCCCGGAAATAAATCCACACATTCCAGCTAACTGAGGTGACAAAACATATAATGGATAAAGAACAAACTCTTTAATACATGGTGTTGATGCTTTTACTATTCAAACTAATGTTATACTCACCATACTGTGTTAGGACTTACTACTGTCTTGTGCTAATACTTAGTACTATCTTTTACTAGTACTAACCATATTGTGTTAGGACTTAACAGCTTTTACAAATAAATCCAGACAGTGCTAACTGACCAGTGGAACCTTCTGGCCTGCAGACAGTGCACGCCTCTTGTGCCAATTAAGTGATCCAAATGGTGTATTCATGGCTATAAATGGCCTCAGAGGCTCCAGTTAAGAGTAAGTTCTCACCACGTTAGAAAATTCCAAACCTCTCAGAACCTGCAAAGCACTATGTGGCATGATGGGCGGGATAACAGTGAGAAAGTTGTAGCCGGAAGACACGCAGTGAGGACTGTGATGCAGAGCAGAGTTAGGATGAACACAAAGAGGCAGCAGAAGACTGCAGATTATTGGAAAAGTGAACAAGAGGAATTCCGCTTCACACGTTTGGAAAGAGCCAGTTGTGTAGCCTGGGAACAGATGTCCTCTCTCCACTGCAAAATCAATACCGTTTCTTCACCATGGATGCTTTCAGTCTCTAACTTGGAGACACAAACTCACTTCAACAGAATTATTTACTCCTAATTACAAAGGGTGCTATTCACCTAGCACTATATTTGTTTACTTCATTTATGTATCAAAACAACCCAGTAACTTAGGAAGCATCTCCAGTGTCTACCTGAACAAATTGGCCCAATAAAATAAATAAAGCCAACGACATCAATTACAAAAAGTAAAAGAATAATAACTAAGGACAAATGGGCTTAAAATAGCTTGTCTAATTGAAAGAACTAAATCAAATGTACTAGTTAAATAAAATATAACTTAACACCCTCATTGTGAAGATACTCACATCTGAGAATTACTAGGGGAGCACCACTAAGTTTTATGGAAATTCTCCTTCTCACCACAGGGCAGGTCATGGAAATAAAATATGACTGCATGAACAATGGGAGGGAACATTATGTGTGAGGTCCAGCATGAATAACAGGCAAATAAAAACAGGATTTGCATGAGGAGATTCTGAACCAGGAGCCAGAATGTTATACAGAAATGAATTCAGCACAAAGGAGAGATTGAGATTTCCTTCAAAATCTATGAGGTTTGTGTAGTTTTCTAGTAAATTATCAAGACTATTAAAGTGATCTGTTTGAATCCAGTCTTGCTATTTTCTTTGTCATGTGTACTTTCAAAACAGGTGGACACCCGCACTCACACAAACACAATGACGTGCTCCGTCATTCTCTTAACCCTGAAGTTTATCTCCATTGCGTTTGGTTCTTGTTTTCTTAGACAAGGGCACGGTTTGCTGCCCTGGCTGGAGTGCAGTGGCATGAACATAGCTCACTGTGGCCTTCATCTCCCAGGCTCATGTGGTCGGTCCTTCCACCTCAGCTTCCCGAGTAGCTGGGACTGAAAGTGTGCACCACCACTCCCAGCTAATTAAAAAAATCTGTAGTAGAGACAGGTGTCACTCACTATGTTGCCCAGGCTGGTCCGAAACTTTTCAGCTGAAGCAACCCTCCCAAGTGCTGGGATTACAGCTGTGCGCCACCATGCCCAGGCTAGTTTATTTTTACAGTTACATATTTGTATATTTACCTCCATGTAAATCACAACGTAAACTCTCTATGTGTTTTGCAGGGCAGAGGGGTTGTACATCCAAGAAAAATGACAGGAAAAAATTTCTAATTACTCAGAAATATATGTATTTTATTTATACTTCTGTATAATCTTTATTATAACCATAATGACTCTGTAGTTACAAAGAAAATTATAAAAAACTATGAGAACCATATTCTTCCAGTTACTTGCAGTTAAAAAGTCACTGGGAATGAAGGTCACTGAAGATGTCACTCCACTCTGCCATCTGACAGTAGATTGCTGCCGTCTGTTATCGACACCATTGAGATGGGATTGATTCTTGGTAGGATAACACTTTATTCCATGAGCACCAGACCTAACACATTTAACACAATTGTGTTCAATTAAAAACAAATTAAGTTCACAAAGAATCTTAAAAAGCATTTCAAAACTTGCGCTATATTATCATAATGAAATACTGCTAAAACCAATGATTTATAAAATTCAAAATGATTCTCTCTTCTTATAATGCAGAAGAATATTAAACTAACTCATGAATCACTTACAGGTATATACGACAGCGACAAAGAGCCTTTCTAGCAAGATTTACTCACGCATCTTACATTTCAGCATCTTTCACCTTTCATGGAAAAGTGTATCAGCGATGCACACTTAATATAAAATAACTTCTCATATCTCTGATGCAGCAACCATTAAAAATGTGTTTTCACACCAGCGCTAGAAATACAGATATAGCATCAATTGATTTGAAAGTTGAATTACATCAATATTGGCTTTTCAAACTATTTAACATTTTTTCAATGCAAAAAAGTGTATCTTGAATGCACTTATAACGCTACAAAAAAATTAATCTCATCCTTCTTTTAAACCTAAATGTGAATGAATAATCTATTTCCAGTCCAGATTACTCTGTAGACTCAACACTTATTCAGCGTCATGTCTGAACATGTCAGTGCCCTGTTCCTTTCTCTTTCCCTAATGTTTATTTAGACTTGATTTTGCTTATTTTTACAATTTACTGCCTTTGGAAAATATCTTTTGGTATGAACCCTGGTGTTTTCTAAGCTATAGTTTCTGAACAAATGTTCTTCCACGCTTATGACATTTGAAGGATTTCTCTCCGATACAAATTCTCTGAATTTGAATAAAGTTTAAGCAGCTGATGTAAGGCTTCCATCTAATATAAAACATATTTCTAATATTTTTTCAGAAGAAATACTCTTTAGTGCTCTGGAAACTTATTTCATGAAAGGTCTTTCAACTCATAATACTCATCATAACCTGATGAAGGACGAACTCTGATGTAAAGCAAGATGGGAGCAGTTACTACAGGCTTTCCCTAGTTTTGCATTTGTTTATTTTTTCTCAAATATGAGTGCTTTCATGTACAGTCAGGTGTGAGAACTGGATAAAGGCTTTGTCACAATTTTCACACTTGTAGGATTTCTCTGCAGCATGAATTCTCTGATGTACAATAAGATTTGAGGACTGGGTAAAGTTTTTTCCACATTCATCACATTTGTAAGGATTCTCTCCAGTATGGGTTTTCATAGGTTTAGTGCAGTCTGATGACTGCTTAAAGATGGTGCTATATTCTTCACATATGTAGGGTTTTTCTTCAGAATGAGTTCTCTGATGATTAGAAAGGCTTGAGCAAGTTCTGAAGACTTTCCCACATTCTTCACATTGGTAGGGTTTCCCTCCAATGTGAATCCTCAAACATTCACTGAGGTGTGAGGCCTGGGTATTGGCTTTCCCACATTTGTCACATTTGTCTGGTTTCTCCCCAGTGTGAATTCTCTTATGTTTAGTAATGTCTGAGAACCACCTGAAGATGCTGCCACATTCCCCACATTTGAAACGTTTCTTTCCAATCTCATTTCCCTGAGGTTTGGAAAGTCTTGGGCTTCTACCAGTTTTTACACTTGGAGAGCTTCTCTCCAGCGATAATCATCTGATGATTAGACAGCCTTGAACAGGAGACAAAGACACGGCCACACTCTTCACATTTGCGGAGTTTTTTCTCAGTGCCATGGTCCTTACCTCGGTAAGGTGGGAGCACTGTTCAAATACTTTTGACAAATACTAATTGTATTAAATACTAATGCCACTTGTATAATGGCATGAAATCATTCGGCATTCATATATGGCATTAAATAATGCCATAATTTGGAATTAAATACTAATGCCAAATTCTTCACATTTCTAATGTTCCCCTGCAGTGTAAAATCTATCTTTAGTAAGGGCTGAGCAAGTTTCAGAAACCTTGTCACATTCTTTACATTTGTAAGGTTTCTCTCTAGTACAAATGTTCTCATGCTCAGTAAAGTGTGAGCACTGGTGAAAGGTTTTGCTATATTCTTTACATCTTTGGAATTTTTTTCTGTGTGAATTTTCTGATATTCAGTCAGGAATGAGAACATTTGAAAGGATTTGCCACATTCCTTGCATTTGAAAGGTTTCTCTCCAGTATGACTTATGTCTATGTACATCTGAAGAATTATTAAAGATTTTAACACATTTACTACATTGAAATATCTTGCTATGAGTAGTTGATGAACATTGGTTAAGTCCATTATAATCTTCTTTCTGCAACTTACATTCGTCTACATTTCCCCAGTCTTTCCTCCAGTGGAAATTATCAAGGCCACCATTTCCATATCCTCTCAGTATTGATTTTGGGAATGCATCTTGTATCTTCTGCTCTGGCAAAAGGTCTTGGGTAAAATAGGACAACATAGCTGGAAAAAAAAAATAAACAAAACTTACCCCATTTACTAGACACAGATGAATACACTTTATGAATCTTATCTATAAAATAATACTGAGTACATTAGCTAAATGACACAAAAAATACTGCAGGCCCTAATTTTTTGGTAATATGTAAATGTAACAATGACTAGTGAGAAAATGCATCTGAACTCTAAGAACCACTTCAGAGTTTGCAGCACACCAAGTGAGCACAATGTTACGAGCCACCTCAGAAGAAGAAAAAAAAGTTGATTATATTCACCCTGCCCCCACAGCCCCTGCTCCTCTGCAGTACAGCAGAATGCCTGTGAGAGTCAGTCCGCACCTCCTGGCTTCTCCTTCAACAAAGAAAGAAAATACTAACACAAGTGTTTTTACGTTTGTCCTTTTGAAGCTACGGCAAAGTCTGGTTTCTGCCCCGATGACATGGAGTGCTGAAAGAAATGGGGGTCCTCTGAATGACAGGTTGGGTCTCTGAGACCAAAAGGAAATCCTGGTGACCACAGCAGGAAGGCTGCAGCAGCACCACCAGCAACATGTGGATCAGGTGACCAGAGGCCACTATGAAGAAACCCGAGAAACCGTCTTTCACTGAAAAATACACACACAATTCCACACGAGACACATCTTCGGAACCGGCTTTAAGAGGCTTCTAGCATCTGGGCCAATTTGGTTCTGATTACCCCAGGAGAAAGTCACATTAAAAGAGTTGTGGCAGGAGGCTTTTTGTTGATGCTTGAATCTCAATCAAAGATTACCTGTTCAAAGTATTAGGGTCATGTGGTACAATTAAAGACATCAAAAAAAGTTCAGAAATCAACCCTAAAACAATGGAGATGCAGAAATTAACTGAAAAAAATAAAATTATCATTTGAATAATGATCAACGAATAAAAATAGAAAAACAGAAAACTAAGTAAAACCAGGAAAATGACAATACCAATAAAAAGATATAAAGTATAACAAATGGATTCAGAAACTGAACATATGAAACAAAATAATTACTGAAAACTTCTCCAATGAAAGAACAGAGATAAAAAAAGCTCAACACATCAAGAGTATAAGCAAGAAGAGATGTAAAACACTACCTGCACAGTTTCAGAAGTCACAGAGGAGAAAAGAATCTTGAAAGCAGCAAGTGAAAAGCAGTATGTCATAAGCATGCTCTTATGAGATTACCAGTGAATTTGTCTCCAGAATCCTCGAGGCCAGGCTGAAATGATATTCAGGTACAATAAAGTGAGGTCAGGGAAAAATAAAGTGTACTATCAAAATCAATTTTACACTGCTTTTTGCATTTATTTATTTTATTTTTGAGATGGAGCCTCACCCAGGCTGGAGTGGAGTAGTGAGATCTCCACTCACTGCAACCTCCGCTTCCTGGTTCAAGGGATTCTCCTGCCTCAGCCTCCAAGTACAGGCACACGCCTTCCTCCCTCCCTCCCTTCCTCCCTTCCTCCTTTCCTCCTTTCCTCCCTTCCTTCCCTCCTTCCTTCCGTTTGGCCAGGCTGGTCTCAAACTCCTGACTTCAAGTGATCTGCCCGCCTCGGCCTCTCAGTGTTGGGATTACAGGCGTGAGCCACCCCACCCGGCCTTCTTTTTGTATTTAAACGTGGTATTGACATTTTAAGATGACATCTGCGACTCGCATCCCTGGGACAAGCGGTCTCCCGTTCCCCATTTACTCTGCAGAATCCTGCTCCTCTGCTTGAGTTTCTGCATCCCCAGCAGCTTTTTTCCTTGCCAAGCGTCGAGGCCTGCTTTTTGCAGCCGCTTCCCGGGAGGGGTTCCGAAGCTCTGAGCAGCCAGAGCCCCGGAGGCCTTACGGGAGCTAGCTGGCAATTCCCGCCGCCGGCCGCCAGAGGAAGCTGCTTCGCTGCTGTCATTGCAGAGCAACTCGTGACCCGGAAGCAGTACCCCGGCCCCCGGGTTCCGCCGCGGCCGCGCTCCTGGAGACTTCCGGTGGGCGGGCGCAGGGTCTCGGCGTATGGTTTCGGAAGCGGCGGCAGCGGCGCGATGACCACGCTCCGGGCCTTCACCTGCGACGATCTGTTCCGCTTCAACAACATGTGAGTGAGACGCGCTTAGGGCCAGCCGCTCCTGGCCCGGCCCAGCTTCCCGGCCGCGCCCTCCCGGCTGGACCCCAAACCCGGGCGGAGACCCGCGAGAACCACCCCCGCCGACCGTTAAGGGAGCCTCTCTAGGGTCACAGGGTCCAGGAACGGGTGGACCCGGGGTCGACGCGCGTCGGCCTTGGCGACCTTGGCAAAGTATTCAAACTTTGTCTCTGGACCCTGCAAGCTCCTGGGTCCTGGGGCAGCCCTCGGGCCGCCGCTCAGGGTCGCTGTCAGGACGCGCCGGGGCGATGGGGCGAGCCGGGGGCGCGGCCTCGAGCCTAGGACCTGGGCTCCTCGCCCGGCTGCTTGCTGGCTGATGGCTGAGCCGCGCCTCTTCTGGGCAGTGGGCATCGCCAAAGGCCCGGCCGCAGAGGGGGCTTGCGAGGGTCGGAAACGGGTCAGCAGCTGCTGGGATGCGTACATCGTGAAGCCCACCTGGTGGCCGTGGTTAAATTGTAGATAAATGAAATAACGCTGATCACTGTGTCCCTGCAGCGATACTGTCTCAGTCGTGGCTGGTGATTGCAGGTTTAGTTACTGTAGCTGCACACCCCGGTGTAGACACCTTTCCTCTATGAGGTGTCAGGGCAGATCCTAGGGAAGGCTCGCTGTGCGTAGAGCCCTGGATTCAGTTTCTTTGGATTCGAGTTAAGGCCAGACCTCTGATTTGCAGGTACTATTTTTTTTTAAGAAAACATTTTATTATGAAGATTTTCGAACGTTTAGAGAGGTTGGAGGAGGCCAGGTGCGGTGGCTCACGCCTGTAATCCCAGCACTTTGGGAGGCCGTGGCGGGTGGATCACGAGGTCAAGAGATTGAGACCATCCTGGCCAACATGGTGAAACCCAGTCTCTACTAAAAAACAGAAAAAAATTAGCTGGGCGTGGTGGCGCGTGCCTGTAGTTCCAGCTACTCGGGAGGCTGAGGCAGGAGAATCGCTTAAAGCCGGGAGGCGGAGGTTGCAGTGAGTTGCTATCTTACCACTGCACTCCAGCCTGGCGGCAGAGGGAGACTCCGTCTCAAAAAGAATAAAAGAAAAGTTGGAGGAATTTCACCGTGTGCTTCTATAGACACTTCTCCTGGATTCTGCAGTTAACATTTTGTTATGCTGGTTATCTCTCTGCCTATCAGTCCTACATCCATTTTTAAAAAATAAGCTCCCACCATGTGAAGCGAAAGACCAAGTGGTTCCGATTTGGGTGTGAAGAAGGTGGAAAGAACTGTGGGATGAGATAGCTGGGAACATTTCAGAGTGGGTGAACCCTGAAGGATGGATAACACATTGGTAAGTGAGGAAGAAGGAAATTCCAGAGTAGCGGGGAGTGAAAGTGGGGAAACTTGACATGCGGTCAGGCAGCTGGGATCAGTGTGAATCTAGTGGTTTCTGTCACACTCATTTTCTTTTATTCTTTGAGACAGGATCTCACTCTGTAACCCAGAAAAGGAGTGCAGTGGCACAATCATAGCTCTCTGTAGTCTCAACCTCCCAGGCCCAGGCTGTTCTCCTGCCTCAGCCACCTGAGTAGCTGGGACTACAGGCACGTGCTGCCACATCCACTAATTTTTTAAATTTTTTGTAGAGACAGGGTCTTGTTTTGTTGCCCAAGCTGGTCTGGAACTCCCAGGCTCAAGTGATTCTCTCACCTTATCCTCCCAAAGTGCTGGAATTGCAGTTGTGAGCCACCACACCTCATCCCCATTTTTTCTATTTTCTTACCTCTTTGATTTTGGTAGAAAACTCTAAGAATCACTCAGATTAGATGCTGCAGTTGGAATCGAAAGAATCCATGGATGCAGAACATTGCAATTAATTTGACACATATTTTATTCTTGGAAAAATATTTGAGTGCCTACTGTGTGCCAGTGCTAGAGGCGTTATCAGTGAACAAGATATAAAAACATGTCTATAGAATGTACATTTTCCCCTCTAAAAACCTTAGTGTATTGGACCGGGCGTGGTGGCTGACGCCTGTAATCCCAGCACTTTGGGAGGCCGAGGCGGGTGGATCATGAGGTCAAGAGATTGAGACCATCCTGGTCAACATGGTGAAACTCCGTCTCTACTACAAATACAAAAAATTAGCTGGGCATGGTGGCGTGTGCCTGTAGTCCCAGCTACTCAGGAGGCTGAGGCAGGAGAATTGCCTGAACCCAGGAGGCGGAGGTTGCAGTGAGCTGAGATCACGCCATTGCACTCCAGCCTGGGTAACAAGAGTGAAACTCCCTCTCAAAAAAAAAAAAACCTTAGTGTATCATAAAATAGCTCAGACTTCATAGAACACCTGAGACAATGTTGGGGACACCCCCAAATCCTGACCCACACCTTGGAAATCACTGCTCTAATACTGTACGGGAAGTCATTTGGAACTTCACTTCAGTTACAAAGGAAAATACAAGCAGAGAAGGAAAGTTGGAAGTGAGGGGGGACTCGGCTTTAGTTTGGGTGTTGAGGGAGAGTGCCGTTGAAGAAAGACCTGGGGAAGTTAGGAAATGAGTTACATGAAAACAGGGGAGCTTCCAGATAGAGGGGACTGTAAACGAAGACACCCCTGTTGCAAATAGGAGGTGGGCCTCGTGGCTGGAACAGAGAGAGCGTGGGAGGGTGAGGGGATAACAGCAGAGTTAGAAGGGCAAGGCCTGGAGAGGCCATCATAAGACCTGAGCTTCTCTGCCACGTGTACCAGGAAACCCAGGTGGAGGGGCCAGGAAGGCATCTGGGCATGGGCGTCTCAAGATTAGGTCTGGGCTAAAGACAGAAATTTGGGGGTTGGCATTAAGTGTAGAAAAAAAAGGCTAAGAGGCTGTAAGATGGTGCCGTAGGGCATCAAATGTTCCAGTAAAGGATACCATGTGGCTCCGTGAGGTGAGAGGAAAACCCCATGGCCTCTGAAGCTGAGTGAAGACAGCATTTCAGGCTGTCCCAGGAATGGGAAGCTGTTCAAGAGCAGCTGATGGCTCAGTGCACATATTTGTACATTTCTTCCAGGAAAGAGAAATGGAAGATGCAGATGCAGGAGGGAAAGAGAATTGCAGGAGGAGGGTTCCGAGTACTGACGGGGTGTCTCGCCGTAGTCCGTGCCTAGTGCCAGGAGAGCAAGTAGCATATGGGCGCAGAAGCCTGTGTGCATTGGTTCGGTTGGGACTTTGGTGAAGGCTGCTTCTTGCTGTTGTCTTTTCCTCCAGATGAAATAGGAAGGCCCTGAGATGGCAGGGGTGGAGGCGGGGTACGGGTGGGCAGACGAGGAGATAAAGCAGTTGAGAAGTGTGGGAGTGATTCCCTGAGCTGTGTTGAGAGCAGTGATTCTCAAAGTGCAGGTAAGGGCTTGGGGGTCCCCAAGATTGTCTCAGGTGTTCTGTGAGGTCAGAGCTATTTTCATGATGTATTAAGAAGGGTTTTCACCTTTTCCACTGTCTTTCCCTCCCAAGTACACAGTGGAGCTTCCCAAGGTGTGATCTTTCAGCAGCAAGCCTAACAAATGCTTGAGAATCCAGTTGTCTTTTAAGCAAGACATTGCAGAATTGTTAAAACAGTGCCGTTGCTGTCACTGGATTTTGTTTCGTTTTTGGAAGTATAGTGACTTTTTTGTAAAGTTATTTGTGTTAACATGTAACTGATTTATTATTTTTAAATTTTAAAAATTAATTTTAAATAATAAAATTTAATCTTAATTTTTTAATATTAAAAAATTTTGAGTATCAGTAGATATTACACATAAACAGAAGTTCTTTGGGTTCCTCAGTTACTGTTTAAAGGAGTTCTGAAACCAAAAAGTTTAAAAACTGCCGGGCTACAGAAATGTGTTATCCCTATCATCGTCATGGGTCTCAAAGGAGAATTTGACTAGAAATCGGAACAGTTCAAAAGTAGCTGGTTTTGAGCCTGACAAAATAGTGGCTCCATTAATAGAATAGGAAAGTGAGGGGACAGAATGGTTTGGGGACGGAGGAGATGCGTTTTCAGAATGCACATTTGGGAATAGTGTGCTGGGATGTGCTGGTGAGGCGCCCACAGCATCAGAGCCAGGTCAGGAGGCATCTACTAAGAACACATCTTGGAATGCAAAGGAATGGGGATGGTGGGGACAGGGAGGTAGGAGTGTAAAAGAGGAGTGGGGAGCAAAAACAGAGTGGTGGGAGTGACCGCGTTTAGAGGGTGGAGTAGAAGAGCAGTTGCCAGGGCAGACAGACACAGGCAGGGAGGATCCCAGAGGATGCTGCGGCGGGTGAGTTTGACGTTCTGTCTCTGAGATACATCCCTAGCTGGTCCTCAGTTCTGTTAGCAATTTATTGCCACTTAGAAAATGCAAGATGTAGATTTATTAAGAGGCAGGCAACAGTTAAATGAAAAAACGTATAAACACCTTAATAGCTGCTATGACACCTTTATGGCTATTAGGTAGAGTAAATCATCTTCCTCAGGCCTCCAGTTGGCCTTAGAGTTGTCAGTTAAGCATGTTTTGTTTTCCTGTGGCATATTATTGTTTAGCAGGCTTATTTAAACTGGTTATTGTAAATGCTGCTTATTATTGATATTTCTCATTTCTTTCAGTAACTTGGATCCACTTACAGAAACCGTATCCTTTTTTACAAAAAAAAAAAAAGTTGAATGAAGATTTACTGAGAGGAAAGAAAATAGAGAAAGAAAAGGAAACACAGATGAGTACTGAAAAATTTAAAAACTTGTAGGTCAGGAAACATCAGAAGCAACACTGAAAGCAATTTTAAAAAATGAACCTGAGAACAAGGGTTGTCTTAGATCTGCTGACAAACCGTTAATATCATGACCTCGTGTAAATCTGTAACATCACAGCTCCCCTGCCAGCCTTGCCTCTCAGGAGTCAGCATGGCTGTATACAACAGAAAGCACAGTGACTTCAGCAAGGTGGCTTCATCTCTCTAGTGTAAACAAAGTCTGGAGATAAGCAGTCCCAGGCAGGTGATGGTTCCATGAAGACACCAAGAGCCAGGCCCTTTGCAGTTTAAGCACCGGACCACTCCCAGGGTGGCCTTAATCTTGTTCCAGAGCAAACAGCATCATAGCCATGTTTCCAGCGGCAGAATCAAAACAGGGGAAGATGAGAGTGTTCTTCCCTTTTAAGAGTACCTTTGGGAAATGCCGTGCAGTCCCCCTGTCTCATGGACCAGCACAGTACCTGTTTCATGCTCCAACAAATCCTATCTAGAGTCCAGAAATGTACCCCGCTTTATAAATTGGGACTTGTTACTAAAGTGAATAGAGGATTTAAAGTAACAATTAGCAGTGTTTATCATGGTCCCAATAGAAAAATGGGGCAAAGATGTGAAGATAGGGTACTCTGGTTATGCTGTTGTAACAGAAACCCCACATCTCCAGTGGCTTACAACAGAAAGTTTGGATTCTGGGTTATGTTCTATGTCTACTGTAGGTGGGTAGGAGGGTTCTGCTAACTGGTAATTTACCAAAAGAGGGCACACAGGAGCTTAACAAAGGTGTTAAGAGTTCAGTCTCGCCAGTCAAAAGACATAAATTAAAACCAAAATGAGGTGCCATATTTTATTTATCACATCAACCAAGATTTTTTAAAATGATGAACCTCAGTGCTGATGATGGTGAGGTGAGAGGAACATTCTCATAAATTGCCAGTGACAGTATAAATTGCTATTATGTTTCTGGAAGGCACTTTAGAAATAGTAATTCCATTTCCTGAAAACTGAAAAGAAGAAGAAATAGAAGCAGTTTGTCAGTGGTTGACAAAATAAAGCCCGTAGGCCAGATCTGGCCCGCTGCCCATTTTTGTAAATAAAATTTCACTGGGACACATCATGCTGATTGATTTATATTTTGTCTGTGGCTTTTGCAGTCTGAGTAGTTCCACAGGGACTATATGGTCCACGAAGCCTAGGATGTTTACTGTTTGCTTTTTACAGAAAAAGTTTGCTAAGCCCTGAGTTGTACCATTACAAAAATTATCTATTGCAGGAGAGTCACTAAGCATTTGGAATAACATTCACATTCAACAGTCAGGAGATGGGTAAGTAAATTAAGCTGTGTACTGCAGAAGGATTTTAAACATTTTTTTGAGAAACTGAAATGACCCAGGTGTCCATTGTCAGGATACAGGCTATTTAAGTTGTCTCTTCACATAAGGAAATACGATACAGCAGTAAAAATTAACTTACAGGTACAGGCAGCAACAGGACTATGTATCAGAAACAAAACTGAATGGGAAAAGCAAAAAGTCTCCGAAGTGTTCATCTGTATTTTTAAAATTATGACTACGATATCACCACTTAAAGATTTTTGAAGAATTTTGAATGACAAAAACTTCACGATATAGGAAGGGAATATTTTAGAATGCAAACCTGCGTATATGGTGTGCTTCCAGTGACATTTAAAATTGACAGTGAAAGTCCCATAATCCAGGTGAGCCCATATTTGAAAGTAGCTTGTTAGGTCCTAGAGGAAGATGGCAGGAAGGGGTGTCTGGAGCTCCTCTGTTAGCCAACGGAGAGATGGTTGTGGTGTATGTCAGCGATGGCTGGCAGGAAGACTGGCTGGCCTGCCATGTTAAGGGTTATATTTGGGGAGTACTCAAAATAATGATGGTCCTTCAGAGGAGATTTTGAAGAATTTTACACCGAACAGGTTTTCCAGGAACTTAAAAAGATACGTGTATGTATTATTCATGGTGTCCTCTTATAAGTTGCATCAGAAAGTTTATACTAACAAGAAATAATTTTCATCCATTAAAGTACAGAGTAAAAAGAAGAGAAGTGTAGGAATGAGTACCTGTCAGTCAGGACATCCCAAGGTTGAGGAGTTAAGTCAGAGGCGAACGGTTCAGGCATTTTCTGTTCACATAGTTGATTCCTTAAGTCATCTTTTATCTGCATTTCTAAAAATGCAGGATTTGAATCAGCGGAGAGGAAAAACTGGATAATTAAGTTGCATCTGGAAGGACTGAGGTTGTAAAGTTATTTTCACAGTCTCATAGCTGAAGTCAAAGTAGGAACTAGCCATTGATTTTTGAATGCAATTGTGTAAGCATCAATGTATTGAACATCTTCTATGTACCACGCCCCAGGGACAGAGGGAACATGACATTCATAGAGTAAGAGGTGGCGGACCACAAACAAATAATATCAGGTGAATATAAATGCAGACTTAGATATGGTGTGGTCAGTAGGGACGTAGACTGTGGAACTTCGGGGGTCCTGATTCTCTGTGTTCTGTTAGACACTGCTATCTCCATTCCACACTCGAGGCTGTGTGTCCAGGCAATTTGTTAAATATCAGTGATAACCTAAGTATTTTATATAATGGTATGTATGATTATAGGACTTACATAGAGCTGGGGATAAAGTAACAGTATGCTTTTTAAAGGAAAAGTTTTATTTTTTACAATATCCCTTAATGAAGAACTTTCTACTATCCATTACTTTTCACACTCCTTAACAGCACTCTAGTATGGGATTCCTTTTTACCTACAGTACCTCGCCCACTGGCCGGAGTATTTCATTGTTGCAGAGGCACCTGGTGGAGAATTAATGGGTTACAGTAAGTATAATACCATTAGTATTCCGTGGAGTAGGTAAAGATTTTAATATAGGTTTCAACCGATTGCTTTAGACTGAAGAACTGGAATATAACCATGATGCTCGTAATTTTATTTCCTCTTCAACAATTCAACAACATACTGATCTCTTCTATGTTTTGGACATGGTGCTAGGTCCAGGTGATAATGGCAGTGAACCAGAAAGACACGGTTTTAGTCTTCTTAGTCTTCTTAAATCTTTCATTCTTAAAAAAAAAATTTCATTCTAAGGCCGGTATGGTGACTCACGCTTGTAATCCCAGGACTTTGGGAGGCCGAGGCAAGTGGATCCTTTGAGGTCAGGAGTTTGAGATCACCCTGGCCAACATGGTGAAAGCCCGCCTCTACTAAAAATACAAAAAAGTTAGCCGGGCGTGGTGTTGCTCGCCTGTAATCCCAGCTGTTCAGAAGGCTGAGACAGGAGAATTGCCTGAATCCAGGAGGCAGGATTTGCAATGAGCCGGAGACGCTACTGTACTCCAGCCTGGGTGACACACAGTGAGACTCTGTCTCAAAAAAAAAAAAAAATCTTTCATTCTATACTTGTGTTAAATTTCTACACGGTTTATTTGGTACATAATGCAGGCATCATAGCATCTTCATTGAATTAGCAGCATTACTAACAAAACTTTTAGCTCTGAACTGCATATGTACCTCTACATGTACCCACACGTATCCACACCCATATGAAATATAGATATTTGAAAAAATACATACTCTGGTTCTTTGTTCAAAATTAGTTGTGTTTTAAGCCTATCATTCCTTTTTAACTTGTTCTAATTCTGATTTTAGAACTACATACAGTGTTAACTTTGCAAGTGAATTTCAAATAAAAGCACTAACTGTTAGCTGGATGACCTCAGTTAGTACTTAAAAATTAAAACTTGGAGGCCAGGCGCAGTGGCTCACGCCTGTAATCCCAGCACTTTGGGAGGCTGAGGCAGGTGGATCATGAGGTCAAGATATCGAGACCATCCTGGTCAACATGGTGAAACCCTGTCTCTACTAAAAATACAAACATTAGCTGGGCATGGTGGTGCATGCCTGTAGTCCCAGCTAGTCGGGAGTCTGAGGCAGGAGAATTGCTTGAACCCAGGAGGTGGAGGTTGCGGTGAGTCGAGATCATGCCATTGCACTCCAGCCTGGGTAACAAGAGCAAAACTCTGTCTCAAAGAAAAAAGAAATGAAAACTTAGTTATTAGTTTCCTTTGTAATAAAAATGTACTGAACAGTAATTCTATAATAATGTGTAAATCAGTGTCTAGTTACTGAATGTGATTTTTTTTTTGTTGGCAGTTATGGGTAAAGCAGAAGGCTCAGTAGCTAGGGAAGAATGGCATGGGCACGTCACAGCTCTGTCTGTTGCCCCAGAATTTCGACGCCTTGGTTTGGCTGCTAAACTTATGGAGTTATTAGAGGAGATTTCAGAGAGGTGAGATTCGGTTTTTCAAATACACTTAGTGATTTGTGGACCCTTAACCATTTTCTTCCCTTCAGGCTGAATAACGGTCATGCTTTATAGTTTACAGGAATTTCATCTTCTTCTACCTCCAGTAGTCCTTACAAAAATTCTGTCACATAGTCAAAGTGGTATTGTTTCTATTTTGCCATTGAGGAAATGAAGGCAAAGTGTTGGAGGGACCTTCTGTAGGCCTGCAAGCTGAGGAACTGGTGGAATCAGCACTCAAGGTGTCCTTTAATGTTTGCGCCACGGTGGCACACATTCCTAACATCTGTTAACACTGCCTTGGCATCAGAATAGATTTTTAACAGTGCTCCTCAGCCAAAAGAAAATAGTTCAGTCTTAAGTAGTTATATTCTAAATGTTTAATAAGTATTTATAGCCTAACAGCTAATACCCATTTTAAAAAACTTGAAAGAAAATATATTTCATTCTTAAATAACTGTGGCGAGCTAGTAATGAAATGTGTGCACCTGTTGGACATTGAATGACTTGACACAACCACCTGCATTCCTGCTTCACATTGATTTCATCTGGTATTTTCTTTAGTCACAACAACTGCCGGAAACTCAGCTTCATAGAAATACCACGTCATTAAGAGGCAGGTAGCATGATCTAATGTTGAGTTTGCCAGCATCTGACGTGTAAGGTTTTGCTGTTTTCCCTGAACATTTCAAATATCCTTTGGTGGCTGTATGAGTTTGAGACACTTTACGGCACCTCAGTACACAGTTTGGGAACATGGCATCTTTTTTTTTTTAAGAGAAGTGTTGTATGTATCAAACCCCTTCATTATCTGCAATAAAAGTAATACAATAAATAGAAAGCCCCTCCTCCTATCTTCATTCTAGAAGAAATATGTGTTGTCAAGCTGCCATTTCTTTCTCCACCATAACTGCCTAAAAGTGTGGTGAGAAAGAGAATAGTTGCTGAGGAGGGTTCTTGAGCTTAATTTCCACTTAATTATTAGATTTAATAAAGGCAAGTTTTAAAGAAGTAACCAGCCTGACAAAGGCTTCAAGCAAAACTAGAGGCAAAAGGAGCTCAGACTCATTCAAAGAGAAGAAATTGTGTTAGCTGAAAAAGAAGCCATTTCTAATGTTTAAGATTTTTTAAAGTTCTCCCTAGACCAAACAAAGGGAAGAAAATTTTTAGCACGATTATTGTTTACACACATTTATTAATGGCATTATGATGGGGAAAAAAAAGTACTTGGCATTATTGTATAGTGAACAGAGAGTTAGAAAGTGGGTTGTTCAGTGAGACCACATGGACACAGGGAGGGGAACAATACACACTGGGGCCTGTCCGGGGGTGGGGATTGAGGAGGGACAGTATTATGAGAAATACCTAATGTAGATGACAGGCTGATGTGTGCAGCAAACCACCATGGCATGAGTATACCTATGTAACAAACCTCTATGTTCTGCACATGTATCCCAGAACTTAAAGTATTAAAAACAAAAAACAGTGGGTTGTAACTACCTGTGACCTTGCACATATAATTTAAGGTGTTTATATGATAGATTCACTTTCTGAGTAGAAAACCACTAAGCTGTCTTCCTTTCCAGTTTCTAAGCCTTCGTTTTTTAGAATAGTTGCTAAGATTTAAGTAACCTTTATTTGTAGGGGTATGCATACGTATACCCATAGGTAATGCATATATACATGCTTGTATACATTGTATACATGTATACATAATATACACATTAAAAATAGAAACCAAACCAGTAGAGAAGAACAATTGAATTATAGAAATCAATCCCGAAGAAGAGAAAAAGGAAACTAAACCAGCAAAACAAAATGCATGAAATAAAATGGTAGCCAACAATCCAAATATGGTCAGTAAGTACAACAGTAAATGTTTATGGACTTAAGACTTCATTTATTTATTTTATGATTATTTTTGAGACAGGGTCTTGCTCCATTGGAGTGCAGTGGCGTGATCTTGGCTCACTGGAACCTCTGCCTTCCAGGATCAAACAATTGGCCTGCCTTAGCCTCCTAGTTGGGATTACAGCCACCCACCATTATGCCCGGCCCACTACGGTGACTCTATTTAAAAGACAAAGGCTGTATTCGCTTTATAGGAAATATGTGTAAAATATGTCAAAATATTTTTAATAAATACAGAAAGATTGAAAGTGAATTTTTTAATGACTTTATAAATCCTAACCAAAATAAAGTTAGAATACATATCAATAATAAATTACAGTTGAATAATTATTACCAGCATAAAAAGGGTCACTGCATATTGATAAAATAGTTAATCAAGGAAGTAACAAGGCTGGTTGTGGTGGTTCATGCCTGTAATCCCAACACTTTGAGAGGCCAGGGCAGGCAGATCATTTGAGGTCTGGAGTTCCAAACCAACTTGGCTAACATGGTGGAATCTCATCTTGACTAAAAATACCAAAATTAGCCAGGCATCATGGCACATGACTGTAATCCCAGCAACTTAGGAGGCTGAGGCAGGAGAATTGCTTGAACCTGGGAGGTAGAGGTTACAGCGAGCTGAGATCACGTCACTGCTCTCCAGTCTGGGCACCAGAGCAAAACGGTGTCAAACAAAAGAGCAATTAAAAATGGTATATACCTAGTGACATCATTTCATAGTAAAAATGCACAAATTGACAAAACTAGAAGGAGAAATAGACAATTATACTAATGGGAGATTTAAACATGCTTCTTTCTAATTGATAGAACAATGTGATAGAAATTCGTTAAGGGTATAGAACAAGACTTAGCAGTTTTCTTCTAGGTCAGATAGTAAATATTCAGGCATTACAGGCCAGCTAAAGTCTTGGTTACATAGGCTTTTTTTTTTTTTTAAACAACCATTGCAAAAAAACATTCTTAGCTTGAAGGCAGTACAAAAACAGGTTGTCAGCCAACCTCTGCCCTAAAGAATTTTAATCAGTAGCGTAAAATCTTTTCACAAAGAAAGCTGTGGCTTTTCTGGCCAACTTTACCAAACATTTAAGAAATAATGACTGAAAGGTCACTTTTACTCGAACTGTTTTGCACAAACTGAAAAAGGGAACATTCTTCAACTTTTTTTTAAGACCAGGATAACCCTGGTAACAATACTTGACAAAATACGGGAAAGGAAAATTTGAGGAAGATCTCATTCAGATGCAAAATCCCAGAAAAGTAATTAGCAAAATGGATTTGGGACTGCGTAAACAGGATGACACATCAGGAACAAGGTGGTTTCAACTTCACATTAAAGGAGAACACTTGTTATTTTAGTAAGTGCAGTAAACTTGATAAAATCCAATACTCGTTCTTGATAAAAACTTAACAAACTAGGAAATAGAAGGGGGGAACTTCTGAATTTGAAAAATAGCTATAAGAAATCTGTAGTAAATATATTTAGTAGTGATACATTGAGTACTTTTTTGAAATCAGGGACAAGTTAGTCCCACTTCAATAATTTACTGTAAATTCTAGACAGCACAGGAAAGCAGGAAAAATAAAAGATCCAAGGGTTGAGAGAAAACAAAACTTATTTTGCATAGATATGATTACACAAATATAAAATCCACAAGAATCTATAAATAAATGTTTAGAATTAATAAAAGGTAGGCAAAGTTGTTGGATATAAAGTCAGTATAAAAATCAATCGTGTATGTGTGTGTGTATATATAAAAACAGTAAAATTTAGAAAAAGATGCCAAGACATGAAAAAAACATTAAGTACTTAAGAAGAATCTAGCAAGTGCTATGCAAGACCTCTCTGACATTTTTAAAACTTTTTGAGGGATCTTAAAGTAGCCCCGATAAGTGGAGCAATGAACTATCACTGGGTTAGAGGATACAGTTCCAATGTAATTGCAGTCAAAATCCTAAGTATTGTTTATAGAACTTCTTAAGAGCAACAAAGGTAAGATATTCTTGAACAACAAAAATGGGTGATGTTCCCCTTCAGCTATCAGAGTGTAAAGAGTGAGTCTGTATCTTAGTGCTGTAGTTATCTTGACCAGTGCTACAGAATTTGAGAAACAGACCCACGAATATATGGACTTTAACATACCATAGAAGAGGCATTGCACATCAGTAGTATGAAGACAGACTTTTCAGTAAAGGTGGCTGGACAACTGGGTGTCCCTATGGGAAAAAAAATTTCTCAGATTACCACTATTCCATACACAAATCCACTCTAGACTTATTAAAAACCTAGATGTGAAAAGCAAAACTAAGAAGTCTTTTGAATATAATATGGGAGAGTCTCTCTGGCCCCAGTGTAGAAGAACTTTTTAAACAGGCCATAAAAAGTACTAACTAAAGGAAAGATTCATATATTCAACTTCACTGAAGTGAAGTAAGTTTTTTAAATCAAAAGATACCATAAGGATAATGAAAAGACAAACTACGAATTGGAAAAACATATTTGCAAAGACATTACACAGTATTGAATATTCAGAATACGTAGGGAACTGAAGCGGGGGGGGAATTATGTGAAAGAAATTAAGTACTGTACAGAAGGAGAAGTCTAAATGGCCAATCAATAAATATATTCAGCATTGTTAGCAACTGGAAATACAAATTAAAATCTGAGATACAGTTACACTGTAAGATGGGCAAAAATAGAAACATCTGATGCACCAACCCTTGCTACTATGGAATGGAGGCTTACTTGCTTCTGTGCGAGTGTGAGTTGGTACAAGCCAGTTGGAAAAAGTTTGGCATTAACTAATGAAGTTGTGCCCTGTGACACAACAATGAGGCTCCTAGCTATAGACCTTACATGAGACGCTCAACAAAAGTATTCATAGGAGCATTGTTGGTAATAGTAAAAGCCAGAAACGTTTATCAACAGGAGCATGAATGGCTTGTGGTGAACAAGCCCAGCCACAGTTGAAGCTGACTCTTAACAATGTTGACTGAGAGAAGCAAAAGACAAAAGAATGTATGATTCCATGTATATAAAGTTCATAAACAGGAGAAACTGTAACAGGTAGTGAATCTGCAGAACAAATGCCTTTATCTTTTAAGAAAACGTGTCATAGTTTCTGAAATACTCGCATGCAAACATAAAGTCTTCAAAGTAATTGTCATAAATCCTAAGTAATGTGAATTTCTATTACCATGTAATCAGCTGCAACGTGTTATTACTACCACTCTGAGTAGCAGTCAAAGCAAGGTAAAAACATGTTTAAAAAACATGTGTCTGCGCGTGCCTGTAATCCCAGCTACTCAGGAGGCTGAGGCAGGAGAATTGCCTGAACCCAGGGGGCGGAGGTTGCGGTGAGCCGAGATTGTGCCATTGCACTCCAGCCTGGGTAACAAGAGCGAAACTCCGTCTCAAAAAAAAAAAACATGTGTCTGTTACTTTCTAGGGTTTCCCACATTCTAACATTTTCCTTTTTTTTTTTTTTTAAAGAAAGGGTGGTTTTTTTGTCGATCTCTTTGTAAGAGTATCTAACCAAGTTGCCGTCAACATGTACAAGCAGTTGGGCTACAGTGTATACAGGACAGTCATAGAGTACTATTCAGCCAGCAATGGAGAGCCTGATGAGGACGCTTATGGTAAGCTCCCTTCCATGGTACTATCATCAAGAAGTCGTCAAAGTAGTACATTCATTCTACATATTGTAGTATTTGGTTATTTTAATAAATGTAGAAGAATCATACTTGACGTTAATATTTAAATCTCCCTTAACCTACCTTTATGAACCTATTAGTAGTAGTAATTAACTTACCTACTAACCAATGGTTAATTTCTATACATTACTGTTGTACTATGTTATGGACATGTTATTTTACTAACAAGAACATGTATTGTGAGCTGAATCCTGGGTGGGGTTTGGTTAGCATCTGGTATACCTGGCAATTGGGAGACTCATTTATAAATACATTTTGCGTAGAATCTGATGGAAGGGGGGTAGAGGATAAACCTCTTATGGGAACTTCACCTATACGCTTTAAATTTGATATTAATACATTTGGGTGTTTATATTAAACTTTGCTGCTTTACAGATATGAGGAAAGCACTTTCCAGGGACATAGAGAAGAAATCCATCATACCATTACCTCATCCTGTGAGGCCTGAAGACATTGAATAACCCTGGGCAGTGGTTCTTAGGCAGATACTCTAGATGCTTTATGGACATTATTATTTTCGCTGGATGATTCGGGAGCTCTATTAGGGAAAATTGATCATTTTAGGTCTTAACGATTCAAGAAAATACAGGTTATCAATTTATTTTAAATCTCATTGTTTCCAGTTAGCAATATCATACCTATGAAAGCTGTTCACTGTAACGAAATTCAGTCGAAAATGCAGCTAGGTCAGAAGGAAACATAACCACTTTTAAGGTTCATAATAGTCACTATGTGTATGCTAGGGAAAAGACTTGCTCCTGTCTCCTCCGAAATGCTGTGCCTGAGAACCACTGCTACACATATTTGTTTTTAAATTTTGTATTGAATTGTTAACTGAAGCTTTAAAAGCATATATGAAATGTATAAATCTAAGATGTATAATAAAACACATTGTTGACTCTATGAATGTTTTCTGGAAGTTTGTTAGTCATTTGTAAAACTGACACAGTTGTAATCCCAGTACTTTGGGAGGCAAAGGTGGGCTGATTGCTTGAAGTCAGGAGTTTGAGACCAGCCTGGCCAAAACCTATACTAAAAATACCATCTATACTAAAAAATACAAAAATTAGTCAGGCATCCTAGCTACAGAGAAGCTGAAGCACAAGCATTGCTTGAACCCTGGAGGTGGAGGTTGCAGTGAGCTGTAGACCATGCCACTGCACTCCAGTCTGGGCAACAGAGTGAGACCCAGCCTCAAAAAAAACACAAAAATCTAAATCAAGATTGTGAAAGGTAATCATTTAGGATATGTTGTTTAATTAAATTGTGACTTCCATATGTAGTATTTTTAAAATGTACATTTGAAGCATTCACTGTCCAGCATACTTAAGAATTCCCTTCTTATCGTTTAGTAAATTCTTCCCAGTCACCTGCATTCATACTGTTAGTCCTAGAGCTTTTCTCCTCTTCACAATGCTTTGCTTAAATCCTGCCCTTCTAAAAAAAAGAAAGAAAAGAAAAAAGCTGTTGAGGTTGTTTTATTTTTAGAGAGGAAAAAGAATTCCTTATCTGTAGTGTCATCCTCTGTAAATGTGAAAATATCCAGTTAGTGAAAGACTTAAGAAAAACCCACAGGAAATTATTAAATTTTACTATTGAAAGGATTTATTTTGGTGGAGTTGAAGGTGTCAGGTAAATGAATCTTTATCTTCTCCTGTTAGAGAATAGCTTTTTCCTTCAAACTTTCACACTGGCACATGCTTGTTATAATTTACCTTGGGAACATGACAGAATTATTTTCTTATGCTTACATGCAACATAAATGGCTAATTCTAGGAAGACTGTGATTAAGTGACGTGCATTCTGACCTGTTTTCATCTCACTCCGTGGCTTGGGGATGAGCCAAAGGCTATTAAGATGATGTTCTCCTGCTCACCATTAGACAGACCTCTACTTGAGATGTGAGCTGACACCGCAGCAGCTGATGCTGGCTGGGCCGGTGACTAAAGCAGTCAGGCTGAACACAGAACTGCCTTTTATCTTAACAGCCCTATTTTCTTTGGTCCTCTTAACACTGTGTGCTATTTTCAAGATAAAATTTAGTAACATTATGAAGTAGCTTTTATTCCCTTGGGTGAATAAGACATTTGCATATTTAATAATAAATTTGCTTACTAAAGGTCCTTTTAGTGGAAAACAATCTTAAAAATATAGTTCTAGTCCTTGGATAGTGAAGAAAGAAAAAATGTGCTTCAGAAACAGTCCAAGCTAAAGGAAATAAACTCTCAGATCAGTTAATGCACTGAAATGTTTCTGCTTGAGAATGTGAGCAACAGATCAGCAAATACATTCATTCTTGTGCTACTTTTCATTATTTAGCATACAGCTACCTTAGGTGTTTCTACCCATGCTCTAAACCAAGAGTAAGTTTAACATGTCAGCAACGTTAAGTAGACATTTTATTTTCTTTTTTTTTTTGAGATGGAGTCTCGTCCAGGCTGGAATGCAGTGGCACGATCTTGGCTCACTGCAACCTCTGCCTCCCACATTTAAGTGATTCTTCTGCCTCGGCATCCCAAGTAGCTGGGACTACAGGCACCTGCTACCATGCCCGGCTAATTTTTTGTATTTTTAGTAGAGAAAGGGTTTCACCCTGTTAAGCCAGATGGTCTTGATCTCCTGACCTCGTGATCCGCCCGCCTCGGCCTCCCGCCATTTTCTACTATAGCATACTCGGAGATGTTTACTGATAATCTAGGTAGAAATAACCCCATTGTCCACTAAGTTTAGCAAAGAATACAGCAACACTGCTACTGGAGATATATAATGTACAGAAGCCTAACTATAAAGAGATTTGATTCATGAGACTTAAGTCTTAGTCCAGAGTTTCCCAAATTTCTGTGAACATAGGACATCATTTTCTGTAGCACACATGTAAGCAAGCCATTATTCTTTAAACAAGCTATTACAAAGCTCTACCACTCTGGAGAACTGATGACTGCCTAACTGAAATTAGACTAAATTATTCTTGGTAAACAATGTTTTCTGAATCTTGTTCAGAAATATAATCACCGCAAATTATTTTCCATGTTCTACGAAGCACTGAATATAACTGACTACTAGAAGATAAGGTGAATTAATCTACTCACATTCAATTCTACAAGGAATTTTTTAAAAAATTTAAAAAAGTGGCTTGGAATGTGGCTGGGCGTGGTGGCTCATGCCTGTAATCCAAGCACTTTGGAGGCCAAGGCAGGCGGATCACCTGAGGTCGGGAATTCAAGACCAGCCCGACCAACATGGTGAAACCCTATCTTTCAAAAAAAAAAAAAAAAAAAAATAGGCCAGGCGCGGTGGCTCAGCCTGTAATCCCAGCACTTTGGGAGGCTGAGGTGGGTGGATCAAGAGGTCAAGAGATCGAGACCATCCTGGTCAACATGGTGAAACCCCGTCTCTACTAAAAATACAAAAAATTAGCTGGGCATGGTGGCGCGTGCCTGTAATCCCAGCTACTCAGGAGGCTGAGGCAGGAGAATTACCTGAACCCAGGAGGCGGAGGTTGCAGCGAGCCAAGATTGTGCCATTGCACTCCAGCCTGGGTAACAAGAGCAAAACTCCGTCTCAAAAAAAATAAATAAATAAAAATAAAAATAAATTTAAAAAAAAGTGGCTTAGAACAAGCATTTTACAGAGCACTTACTATGCACCAGGTATATTCCTTTTATAATATAATCTTCAAAATGAGTTGTCAAAGTACTAGCCCATTTTATGAGGAAAATGAAAATTAAGTTACATAATCACGAGTGGCAGGGCTGGGAAATGAACTCAAGTCTGTGACTCTGAAGACATGAAGAAGTTACACATTTCAGATAAATGCATAAACTATGGTTATGATGTGAAAAGTTACTATAGAATGTAACCAAAAAGCTAAAAAAAAAGGGCTCAAAAGTCTGCACGTTCACCCAAAATAGATGCTAAACATTACCTTAATTACATTTCCTAATGCATGATGTGTATAGATATTAGAAAAGTTTGGTCTCAGTTGGAAAAAGAAATCTAGCAGTTAAAAATGTCCTTTCCTTGCAATCCCTACCACTAGATAACCAGAGGGCATTTAAAAAATAACTTAAAAAGTAGCTATCAAAGATACCAATCAATTTCTTACTGGTGAAATATATAAGAACTTCTGGGAGTCACAAAAGTTCCAAACAATTAATTTATAAAAATAACAAAACATCTGTCAATATGAAAAAAAGATCAGGATTCACTCTCATCGACATCCTCATCTGGACTGTGCTCAGTATCCTCCTTTTCCTGCTGCTGTTTCTTCCATAGTTTGGCCATGGCCAGGAGTTTGAGGTTAGGTTGGTTGGCAGCATCTTCTGGAAAGATGTAATCAAAGTATTCTTCCCAGCCTGCATCGGACTACAGAAACAAAATGATTAAAAGATAGCAAACATGCGGCTGATACACTCACATATCAGAGGGAAGAATTTTTACTGGAAACCTGGAGGTGAAGTTCAACTTATGTCCATTTTACAAAACAACACAAAGTCTACTATGGAAAGAACAAGGGCTGGGTCTGAAAGACTGGGAGTGAGTAAGCAGCAACTGCAGCTCAGAGAACTGAAGAACTGGTAGAAAAAATTCCAAAACTCTAAACACAGCTCCTCTATAGCCAACCAAGGTGTTGAGTGTCTCCAACTCTATTGTGCAGTCTTACATTTAAGAAAATGTTCAACCATTTTTATATAACATTCATCCAGTAGCAAAAGCCATACATCTGTGCATTATTATTCCAACTCCCTACCCTCCCATCCTCACCTCCCATCAGTCACTGATTTCATTTCCTAAATATTGTTCTAACAGGCCCTGTTCTAGTTCCACCTTCCATGTCTTATTCGGCTTGTAAAAACTGCCTCCTGATAGGTCTTCTTTCTCCAATCTCAGCCCCTTGGGTCTGCCAGTAGGAGATGCCAGCAATCTGGTCACGGCATTTTATGCGAAACAGCCTTCAGTGACTCCCAACAAACTCCTTCTTATTGCCTACAAGCCTTCTCTGGCTCCTGTCTGAAAGTTCAGAGCCAGGTTCCTCCATGCTGACTTCCTATTTAATGCTCTAAAAATATCACACTTCATGTAGTTCCCAGACTCAACCATCACCAAAACACCTTTGCCAACCCCTTACCATTGTCCACCTCTGCTGGACCATAGGCTCTACACTGTGTTTCCACAACAGCCAGATTGCAACCGTCTCCCACTCCAGGTGGTGTGTTTCCATTTTACCAATGTACTTATGCCACTTAAAAGTACACATTTCAAAGTCAGATGTGTTTCTACTCATGTGATGTGAGAGGAACAGTCCCAGGGCAGAGTTCTTACCCCATCGTCAGCCTGGACCTTTCTTCTCTTCTTGACTTTCTCTGGCATGAGTTTGTCTACTCTCTCCTTATCTGATGCTGTTCCAAATTCTTCTTCAAAGCTTCGCCAAGATTCCAGCAGCATAAGTCTCTCTTCCTTTTCTTCACAGTTTCGCATGCTTTTGTTAGCTTCTTCATAAATTTGTCTGCATTTAGCCAAACTTCCTTCTTTTCCTGAAGACAACTCAAACTGAGCAAAGCTGATCCACACCTTTAAAAAAAGGTATTATTGAACCAAATTAACCATGTCACTCGGAAGACAATAATGTAATAATAACGATAAAACGAATTCCCAGTTAATGACATCTGAAAGTAATACGTCCATCACTAGTGTTTCACAGATCAAAATAATGAATATATGCTTCCATAGTAAACACTGAAGCAATTTATTTCTACATGCTACAATTAAATGTCTACACAGTCTTAAAATTGTAAAAAGAGTTTAAGTTTTTGTCAATCTTGTGATACCCAAGCTATTCACATGCAGCATAAACAATGACCTGGTATAAACTTAACATTTCAAACATTCCAAAGTCCTCTGAGACTCATGTTTCTATTAAAAAGCAAGGAAGTTATTAAACAAAAGAAAAAAAAACCCAAACACTTAAAATACAAGAAATACGTATTTTCTTCAGGACTGATTCAAGCAAAATGAAAGATCATCTACAAAAGAATACCTTGACATGCTGCGTCCGTTGAAGCAACCGTCGGTAAAGGTTTCGTGTTCTTTCCGTTTCTTCCTGCTCAATTTCAAAATCAATATATGATTTCCAAAGCACCTAAGAAAGACAAGTTAATTGGTCACTCTTGACATTTACAAAGCAGCATGCCCCCATCTAAAGCACAGCTTAGTAAGTATCACTCTAATTTACATCTAGAAACATGGGATTTTTACTGAACAACTAAAGAACACGAATGAGTAAGATAAATAACACTGGTTATCCATAAGCTGGCCAAACCTTGGCTAGAATTCCAGATTACAGAAAAAGGGCCTTGGATTCAGTCTTAGTTCTCTTTGGAAATTTTTCAAATGCTTGACTTATCAAGAGCTGAGAAATTTGCCAGGCATCTCCCAGGTACTCTTTCATATTCCGGCCACGTGCAATGGAGCTTCCAGAGAGAAGACAGGCCCAGGTTTAGCCAGTGGGCACCTGTTCAGTGAATGCTTGTTGAGTTGACTCTGAACAGGTGCCCACTGGCTCCATGCAGCCTGGCAGGGCATAAGGATGAATAAACTGTGGTCTGGACACTTGAGAGTTGGCATTCTGGGTAGGGGAGCCAAGGACAACTGACGAACTCAGTATTACACAAAGCCCTGCCTTAATGTAGTCAGGTGGCCAAAACATTAAATGCAGGGTCATGTTAGTGCATGAAATTAAGAAAAAAATGGCTGGGTGAGTTCTATGGCTCCTGTGAGATTCAAATCGGTCCTGGCTGTGGTTTGGTGCTATCTTGTGGGTCAAGCTTAACTATGGAAGGCAGGAGAGCACTTTCAGGACAGTGACAACCGTAGTTGCAAGGATATCCTGGTTTAGAGAATACAGGGATGTACAATTCCCACCTCCACCCTCCTTGTTCTCTTAAGTGGGCCAGCCTGCTAGCTATTTCTTTGCCTGGCCTCTTCCCCAGGCCCTTTAGGCTTCCCTATTCGAGAAGGGGAGTCACACAACCCCCATGATATCCCAAGTCATCCTTGTCATCATCCTAGATGTCTAACTAGAGGGTTACTTCCCCTGTCCCCTACATCCTGCCTTTCCATGTACAAGCCTAACCTGAGTAGAAAAGACTAAGTTAGATCATCTTTATACTCTAAAATACACCTATATTTAGATGGTCACCTAAAGTAAGACTAAACAAGTATCTCAAACCAAGTTATATTTGACTTGAGAGCTCACCTCTGGCATGTCTAAACGTGGCTGACTGATGGCTAATTCATAGATTGCCCGTGCTCTGTCAATATCACCAAGGATTGTCTCTAATTCAGCAAATTTAATCCATGAGGTACAATTTTCAGGTCCAAATTCCAGGAACTTTTCATAAAGCTTCCGGCATCTGTCAAATTCTCGAAGCTGTAACTCCAATTCTATGTAAACTTTAAATAATTTGTTCTTTGGACATTTGCCTATGGAAGTTCCCTGGAAAATAAAATAACCAGACCACTGTGATACTGTAGTGGATTCAATTTGTGTAGTTATTGCACTGCCCTGAAGCCTGTTCTCTGCTGAGGAAGATTCTTGCAAAGTCAACATGGACTACTGTTCTTTCCCTCTGTGACATCACAGTGTTTACTGGTTCTCAACAAAAGGCTGAAGGAAACTCTTTAATTCATTCAGCAAGAGGCAGTGTTCCACAAGTGTCTGGGCAACTAAATAAACTAAGATTTGAAAGTTTCTCAGGACATCCTAGGGAATGTGGATGTCAGATGCATACTATCTATAAATAAAAAGGACAAGGCATGGTAGCTCATGCCTGTAATCCCATCATTCTGAGGCCAATGTAGGAGGATCATTTAAGTCCAGGAGGCAGAGGTTGCAGTGGGCCAAGACTGTGCCATTGCAGTCCAGCTAGGGCAGCAGAGTGAGACCCTGTCTCACAAAAAAAGGAAAAGAAAAAAAAAAAAAGTAGAACAATTAAAAGTACGTTTAATACATCAAAAAGTTTGCACAGGATCAGATTACCAATTCTACTCTGTGGAAAGATCTAGTAACCGGTAGCTAGAGAAGTTTCCAATGTTGAAAGAGAATGTTAATTTGCCCTAGGTAATAAGAATCATTTAAGCATTATTAGTCAGTGTTTTTTCAGAGGATGCATGTTTTCTAACATTTCCCAGGCTACAAAGGCATAATACTTCTGTCACTTTTTGAAGTAGGAATTGTATAACTTCCAAGCACCAAGATTTTAATTTCTTTCTCAGAGAACTTAATGAGACGTCCTGATCCTTTCTTTACTTACCAATGCTCTTCTGGCTAATGATAGATTTTTCTGTCGTATTTCAAACTGTGCATAGAGTATCCACATTTTGGCAAATGTGAACTAGAAAACAAAAGCACAAAAATATCTAGCTTAAAAGCCTCATTCAAATTAAATTAAAGTAAAATACATTTAAGTTAACCAAGGTCACTGGTAATTCAATTTCTCTAAAACTTCAGAGTTAAGAGGGATGCATTCTGCTTATTTACAAGCAAAGAAGACCTCAGTCGTGTCACACAAGTTAGAAAGACACAAATCATGATCCAGATACTATAATGCATGACATGGTAGCCTCTCCTCAGAACAGACTTTGTTTTGTGGGCATGCCTGTATGGGGGCAGAATGTCCTACCTCCATTCTAAAAAGGAACTCGGTCAACACATTTTCCTTCTACAGAAGGAAACATGTCTTATTTCTCATGCTGGGAAACAAGGCTGAGGTAACATCTCAACCATCTATAGAAGGGACACATTGATCCATGCATGTACGCACTCACTGTTACCAACGATCCACTTCTGTGTCCCCTACACATATTGTGTGCTCTCTGCATGGATGTCTTTCTCCTTCCACTCAGACTATTTGAATTACCTAGCCTTCTCTGAATTTCTATTATTTGTTTGTCAAAGCAAGTTATCCTCCAATCTAGAGTGTGAGCTGTTTTCAGAGTCAAGGAACAGATCTCAGTCTTATGCTAGTCCACGGTGCCTAGCACAGGGAAGTATTTTATCAATCAATATTATTTCACTGAATTACTTCACAAGTAAAACAAGAGGATTTTGACCTGTTTGTAATGAACACTTTAGAGCAAACATACCTTTTTGTGAGGAATTAGTTCCAAAGAGGCTTGATACACCTGTCTTGTCCTCTCAGGATCCTGTATTAGGATAAGAAATTTTCACATAATATTGGAGACTGCTGCTAACACTCATCTTACTAGTTACTAATTTTACTGATACTAGTAAAAATGTACACCCCCAACATTGAATATGTTTCTCAAGTTATTTGCAAACCCTGATTTCATTTATGATCTAAAGTATGAACAGCCATCAAACTTCAGTTTAAGAATCACCAAGACAGCCACCAAACTGTACGCCCTTCTTTGTAGAAAGCCATTTTGCCTGATAGCAGAAACAAAGATGTATACAGTCTCAGATCAACCCAGAAGGTTAATACAACTGATTTCTAAAAATGCCACTTGATTTTTCCTAAAAGCAAGAATGCATATTCTAGCCATGATTATTCCTATTAATGAGAAAATCCAGGAAACTATATTTAATTAAACTAAGGGCTGGTCCACCGTTCCTTTTTAAGCTCCATCCGATATCCTGTTGTGCCTCAAGTAAAAATCAAACCAAACTAAACAAGTAAAATCCCCTCACATGTGACCACAACAAGCACAGAGAGTTTAAAATGTTGCAGAGTGAATACGTAACTGTATGACTGAATAGAAGCCTATAAAAATTTAAAACTAAATTTCTTGGTTTCAAGAATTATAAATATCCACAATAGGTGAGCTGTGAATACAGAGGAGAGAAAACCATTAACAGCTGATGCATAATTCTGGGTTTTTTTTCACCTTTGCCTCCAATTCTTCATAGAGTGCATAGTTGATCCAAAGATAAATGTAGCGCTTCCAGTGCCTCTTCTCCTGGATGGGTGGGACGTTGGCAATGGCCCTTTCGTAGACTTCTCGCACGGCTTCAGCTTCTGCGTCACTTTCCACCAAACGCAAGTAATCAAACCATGCATCATAATTGTGTGGATTCGCCTAGAAAGACAACCAGTTTAATAAATAAAAAGCAAAATGAAGAGCTGCGCTTGCCAGGTTAAGTGAGATGAAAAAAGGCACCAGCCTGACCTTCTATATTTTAGCACCTTTTCTTTTTTTTTTGTTATTTTTTTTTTTAGCACTTTTTCTTCTAAATTTTTCATGTTCTCTCATTTTAAAAACACCATCCCTGAGATGCACATATAGAAAAGAAACAGAAATACAGAGGATAGATCACTGGCCAGGTATCCCACAGCAAAGCCCCCTTCATCTACAGCCATCATTTTCAAGATAGTCAATAATTAGATGCCTCTTCTTATCAATGCATTTGCTTATATATGTGACTACATATCATGTCTGTAACCAAATTACAATAGAATGATATTATGCTCACAATTGTTAAACTTGCTTTCCAATTAAGAGTAATTTATCATTAATATATCTTGCTAACCTACCACCTCATTAAATAACAGACTTAGTCCTTTGCTTGGAGGTATCTTAATTAGACTAAGCAAAGGTATTTTTAAATACACAGCAGAATACTGAAGGCAAATGCTACTCTCTTTGAATTGAAATCAAAATAGCACATTACAGAAAAAGAGATGCCGATAGAACCCTGTATAGCATAAATCTTTTGTGCAGGCAGTTAAGCTCAAAGGGTGATGTGCAAAAACAGGTTTTTGGACCAATCTCTGACTCTTCCACCTCCTTCCAACAATGAGCTCAAATGGATTCCACACTTCTTTTGCTCAAGTTCTACATATAATCAGCAATCAACAAAATGAATTTCAACATCTGAGTGGCAGAGCAAATCCCAGTGTTGTTTGCTTGCCTTTTCTATCACCCTCATTTATTCCTACTTGTGTGAAATAGCCATCAGTTGATCACAGGCACATCCTCAAGAGGGTAATCATGGGTAATGCTAACTTGCTGTTTCCTTTAGTGTTGCTAGTAAGGCTGAGCACATCTCAGCTATCTGCAGAGCTGACCATGCACACCAGCGCTCACCTTCACTTCTTCTTCATACTGGAATCTCCGTTTGCTCACGATGATATCTTCAATACCCCGCCTATCACCAAACTTCTTCTCAAAGATGGTATAATTTTTAAAGAGTTCTTGGGCATCTTGTTTTGAAATTCTGTCCAGGGCATACTTGTAAATCACTCGTACCCTTTCAAACTAAATGCAGAGAGGATGATTACCTTCTATAACACAATATTCTCATGCCAGTCACAACAAGGAAAGTACATGTAACAAAATATTACCTATAAGTTAGATTTTGAGGCCTCATAATGTCGGAAGTAAATGTTTTTCTCCCTCTTGTTGAAGTGAGCTGTCAGGATGGACCAGTACTCTGCTTTGAGCTCCATGTTTAATACTGTCTACCTAACACCGCCAATTGGATGTCCACTGCACATCTCAAACAGGTCCAAAACTCAGCTTCTGTTTCCTCCCCACTCACCCTGGGACTTTCCCCATCTTCCCAATCTTAGTAGGCAATGCCTAACCTGGAGTCACATACTTGCTCATGCCAAAACCTTCAGGTGTTCCTTGATTCCTCTCTTTTCCTCATTCTCCATATTCACTCCTGGAACAAGCCCTGCCATTTCAACCTCTTCCACGCAGCCCTTCACTTCTCTCCAGCCTCCAGCCATCAAGCTCCACTGCTTACCTGGACCACTTCAAAAGTCTCCCCACTGGTCTCCCCTGGTTCCACTTTTGCCATACATCCCCACACATTCTCCACGAATTAGCCAGGGATTCTCTTTAAAATATAAATCATATCCAATCACCATCCTGCTTAAAACCTTTCAGTGCTTCCTACTGGCTCAAACAGAATCTGAACTCCCTAGCATGGTCTGTGCAAGACCTTGTACAGGTCTACATTTTGTTTTCCGTTCTGGGGCTTTATGCTTCTGAGTATCTCTTGTCGGAAACATTTGGTAGCAGAAGTGTTTTGGATTTGGGATGTTTTCCCAGTGTTGGAATGTCTGCATCACACTTACTGGTTCAGCGGCCCCAGTAGAAACACCCAAAGTCTTCAATGCTCCAGTGAACGTTTCCTTTGAGTGTCATGTCAGAACTCAACAAGGTTCCCATTTTGAGTTTCGGATTTTCAGACTGGGAATGCCAACCCTGTATTTGGATGGATCTCAGCCTACCTCTCTCAGTTCCGTTATTACTTGAACTCCTTTTTTTTTTTTTTAAGAGATAGGGTCTTGCTATCACCCAAGCTAGAGTGCAATGGCATGACCATAGCTCACTGTAGCCTCAAACTCCTGATACTTCTACCTCAGCTTCCCAAGTAGCTGGGACTGTAGGTGTGTGCCAACAGGCCCACTCAATTTTTTTTTTTGAGACAGAGTCTTGCTATGTTGCCCAGGCTGGTCTCAAACTCCTTGCCTTATTTGTAGGGCAGTCTCTGTTTCCATTCTAAATTTTGCTTCCTGTTCTGGAGTTTTATGCTTTTTGTTTCCCATATTTATACCTGTAAAGTCCTTTAAGTAGGATGCCAAATGATCAGCTCTCAGTTTAAAGGGAATTAAGACTAAAAGTCTTAATTTTCAAACAAAGCACAACCAAATTAAGACAGTTATAATACAATCTATAATCAGCTCCCAATATGTAGTTGAATCACATACATATGCAGTTCTCTGTGAGAAGTTGCGTTTTTGCATTTTGGAAACTCTTCTCCAAGGTATGTAAGAAAAATGAAAATGAACCCACCATGCACAAAATGTAATCTTTGCTAAGCTATTTTACAGTGTAATGAAGTTCTTTAGGCATATTACCTCTTTCTGATTTTCTTCAAACTTAGCAAAGGCGACATAAAGGTGCTCATCCATATGTTCATCGCCAAAGAATTCCACAGCTCTCTCATACACCTTCCGTGCGTGAGCAAAATAAGCATGTTTTTCTTCAAAGCGGGCATACTTGATCCAGTTCTTAACATCAGGGTGCACGAGGACAAGTGCAAGGGAATTAAGGAAATACCAGGCAAAAACAGCATGGTTTGAAAGACTAAGCAAACGCTAAAACCATACCAAAGCCTGGACACCCCAACAGTTCAAACTACAACTCCAGGGGAATAAAACACATGCAGAAGTGTAGAACTAAACGGTGGCTTACCTGGGGGCAGGGCCACGCCTTCTCATTCTATCTTCCTCCAGTGCTTAGTTAAGATTTTAGTACTGGGTACAATCTTGAGTTTGGAAGCAAAGAAAAATCTCAACCCAGATTACTAACCATGTGATCTCGGATAAGTCATTGAACTTGTCTAAGTCTCAGCTGTTTCGTTGGTTAACAGAGAATAATGCCAACCTCATTGGATTACTGCTAGCTTTAAATGAGAAAATGTATGGTAAGCCCTTAGCACAGTTTCTGGCCAAAAGAACATGGCACCGTAAATGGTCAATAATGGTCTGGTCAATAAATGACATCAATTATATTAAAATATAAATACTTGAACTGATAATTAAGAAAAAGTGCTATAAAAAGAAAACTGCTAACTAGAGTCAAAGCCGAAAGTTTTGAATTGCCATTTTAATCTATCTTCCTTGAATAAATCATTGATTTCCAAAGTGGTAATATATTCAAATATGGCCAAGAAGTTAAGAGCATTCGTTCTTCTAGGTTCACGTTCCATTTCCATCAGCACCTATGAGAGCCTAGTCAAGCTACTTCACCTCTCAGGCCTCGGCTCCCTCACCTATAGGATGGAGAAGTTCCTACACTGCAAGGTTGTCATGAGGACTAAATGACAATATTTGTAGAGTATGTAGAATAATGCCCAGCACACAGCAAGTGCTATAAAAGCTTCTCAAGCTAATAATATTAAAATTAGTAAACATAATTAAGATCTTAACATTGTCACCTGAACAGAGAAGAGCAAAAAAATAAAAAGATCTTAATACTGCATAATAAAGTTGATTCTCATTATTTGTGGTAGTTATGGTCTATTTAGTCAATGCAAACATTTAATTATTGAGTACTGAACCACTACGCCTAGGGGAAACATGTATATATACAATCTCACATTCATGATAATCTTAAATCCTGAAAAGAACTCATCCTGGCAGACTCTATCTTCATTATTTTGTAAGAAAAGTGGTTCAGACATGTTCAGTGACTAGACTGAGGCTGCCCCACTGACAGGGATTCAAACTTCGCAACCGGCCCCAGAGCCAGAGTTTGAGCTGTGTGGGACTAGACATTCTTTCTCCAAGCTCTGGGCAAGCCTATATGAGGTTAAGACCAGAAGGCAGAGGCTCGCCTTGTTGGGTTTCATGCTCTGTGCATGTCTACAAATGACTGTGAAAGTGCCACAATTACTGATTTTGGGAGTTACAAATAAATTTTAGCAAGAATGTGAGTTTGCGAATATGGAATCTGTGAATAATGAGGGATGACTGTACTTCAGTTTCTAAAAGTGCTTTCATGTGTATAAGTTAATCTTCACAACCGCCCAACAAAGCCGTTTTTATTCTTGTTTTTAGGGAGAGAATACCAAGTCTCCAAGGAGTTAAATGACTCACTGGAGCCACATAGCTAAAGAGTCACTGAACTTGTCTACGTCTTGGATGAACTCCAGCAATGGTACTAATGACCGACACAAACCTTAGAAAAACAGGACTAGCAATGGCAGACAGAACCTTAGTCAGTCCTCCAGCCGTGGGTTCCATGTCTGTGGACTCCACCAACCTGAGAACGAAACTCTTCAAGGGAAAAAAATGCTTCTGTACTGAACGTGTAGTTTTTTTTGGTGATTATTCCTTAAAATATACAGAATAACAATTATTTACATAACATTTACACTGCATTAGGTTTAAGTATTCTAGAGATTATTTAAATCACATGGGAAGCTATGCGTAGGTTACAAGCGAATACTACACCATTTTATATCAGCGATTTTGGTATCAGCATCACTGATTTTGGTATCCCCTTGAGGTCCTAGAAACAATCCCCCAGGAATATCATTTTCCACAAGGAAACATTAGTTTTCAGCATGAAAATATAAACCCAAGCGCTCACCAGAAAAGACTAAACAGTTACCCAGATCACGAATTTTCATTCTGAACAATCTCTTTCCCTACAAAACATAGGAAGCTGATAAACTGTCATTCTTAACTTGCCTGACATTAACGACTGTGTGTCCTGACCATGAGCCATCTGAACAGGAGCAGCAGCCTCGAAGACAATAATGGCACCACACAGATCTCATCCAAAGGATATATCGCTCATAAATGGTGCGGGCCCGATCCACCTCCTTGTATCGCAGCTCAAAGTTGATGTAGGAATGCCAGGCTTGCTCCTCTGGCTGCCACTCCATCCAGCGCTCAAACACCTGCCGGGCACCGGCGATGTTTCCCAGCATTTCCTCCATGTACGTGTACTTGTACCTTCAACAAAATCACCCGAAAATATCTGCTGTGGTAATTTTTAGTTCTTCCATTGTTGAATGGGAAGAAGATTTAAGATTTATCTTACTTAAGGGTTAAATTGAACAAGTTTTGCCATTGAAATATAAATCTGAAAAAGGATGAACCATTGGAAAAAAAGATATTTTTTCTTAAAAACTGCCTAGTTCAACAAGCAGCTTCTGAACAATTGCAATCAAAATTTTAGTTTTGATTACAAAGCTATTAAACATTATGATTAGGACTTAATAGACTATGGGACATTAAAAAGCATTTATGCTTAAAGAAAAAGTAGAATGTAAAATTAAACTATCGTCACATAAATAAACACAGACAATGTGGAACTTTTCTAGTCCCTCAAAGGCTGTTTCGTTAGATCGGAAACTTACCAGAACTGATTGACTCGAGGCAGGGTTGTTATGGCCCGGTCCCAGATATTTCGTGCGTGGTTGACTTGGCGATTCTTCATTTCCATTTCTGCGTATTTCAGCCAGAGTGTAATATTTCGATAGTCTACATCTAAAGCACGCTCGTATATGGATCGAGCCCTTACGAAGCAAGATTTGCAAGGCATCAAAAGTAGTGTATACAACACGTGTAGCAGTTATTTCAAACTACCTGGAATGCCCTGATGTTTTATTAGGTGTCTACCGTGAGCCAGGTTCTGGGCCTAAAAAGACGAAAAGCTACAATGCTCTCAAGTACCTTACAAAGTCCTACAGAAAGACATGCTTGCAATTATCATGCAATGTGATTTATGTCACAGTCAAGATCTGTACAGGAAGCAGAGAGGAAGAAATGAAAATGTCTGGCAGAAGAGGCTAAGTAGCAGGTAACTCCAGAACTGAGAACTTGAGGAAAGTTCCAGTTTACCAGGAAACTAAGGTTGGTGGGGAGGGAGTGCTCATTCCAGGCAAGGAGAACAGCCAAGCCTCATAATAAGGATACATGATATATTCAGGGAATGGCACATACACAGGCGCAGTGGGGTCAGGAGGTATGAGGCAAGAATGAGGAAAGTTAGACAACAGGAAGGGCCAGATTGCAATTTTTACTTTTTTGGCCATTGGTTTTCAGCTAAACACTTTAAAAAAAATCTCAATACATAGAAAGCAGATGAAATTGTGCTTCTTTAGCTATAGAGTGTGTGCTGGGTGACAAGATATATCTCTAAAGCCTCTCCTGCCACTCTCCACCAGGACTTTTCTACCCCAGTGCTCCTGAGGCCCTCAAGGGAACCCTAGGGTTCCAGGGAACCAAAGTTGAAAATTTCTATCCGAGGCATAATCTTTTCCTTGTGCTTTAACTTTTTCTTTTCTTTTTGGTATCTGTTAACCTACAAATCTTTATATATAAAACTATACTCTCAGCAATTTTACCTTTGAATCTCCTTTAGGCTTTCTTCCCATTGTGCGTATTTTATCCAGTTACTAATCACAGTCCTGTTTTTTCTTATGTTATCTTCAAAAGTCTGGAGGAAAGCAAAAAGGGTCAAGTCCAAGGGCTAATGACTAAAAATGACACCACCCTTGGTCTAGTAAAAGTCTTATACTAAAATGGTAGTTCATTTTGTTCATATTTAATAGAAATTGCATCCTGGAATCCTTAAGGAATAAGAAACCCACTACAGAAGGTTACAATCAACTAACTTATACTTTAAAATAGTCTATGCTTATCCCTAATAAAAAATGTTTTTGAATATTACCTTTAAGTCCTCTGGTAATTCTCAGAATTTCATACATAATAGCATTCGTGCTTTAAAACAGTCCCACATTCTAGAGTGAGGAGGTCAAATCAGATCCCAAGTCTTTTCTCATGGTCCTTTCTCAGATCTCAATTCCTTGTTTTTTTGTGATGAAGTCTCTCTCTGTCGCGCAGGCTGGAGTGCAGTGGTGTGATTTAATCTCACTGCAGCCTCTGCCTCGCAGGTTTCAGTGATTCTCATATCTCAGCCTCCTGAGTAGCTGGGATTACAGGCATCTGCCATCATAACTGGCTAAATTTTTTTGTAATTTTGGTAGAGATGGGGTTCTACCATGTTGACTAGGCTGGTCTCCAACTCCTGACCTCAGGTTGTCCGCTGAGGCCAGGACTTTGGCCTCACAAAGTCCTGGGATTACAGGTGTGAGCCACCATGCCTAGCCAGATCTCAATTCTTAACACAGAAGGTGGTATAGGCAGAAGTACACAACAGTGCAGTTTTACTAAGCATACCCTCTGCTGGTTCCAGTTGTTCCACCTGCTAAACTTCCACCCATGTTTGATTCAGCACCAAAAATTATGCAGATTCAATTTCTTTGTACTTTAACCAGACAATTCATAGCATATTTTGTATAGTTCAGAAAAATGCTGTTATCTGGTAACCAGAAGTACATTATTCATGTGCTATAAACACTAGCCTCATCTTGCCCTACAGAAATTCTTTTTTTTGGAGACGGAGTCTTGGTCTGTTACCAGGCTGGAGTGCAGTGGCGTGTTCTCAGCTCACTGCAACCACCACCTCCCGGGTTCAAATGATTCTCCTGCCTAAGCCTCCCAAGTAGCTGGGACTACAGGCGTGCAACACCATGCCCAGCCTACCAATACTTTCTTAACAATTAGTGGACTGAAAGATATCACACCGACTGACCTTCCTTTTCCTTAGTTTATAATCATTTAATTCTTCTTCATCTGTGATCTTTTGTTGAGGTGGAGGTGGAAGAAGCTCAAGTTCTCTTTCTTTAGCCTCTCTTAAGAGCTGTTCAGCAGTTATCTGTACCTCAGCTGGGGCTTTGTTTTTCACCTTTTAAGAAAGAAAACATTTCTATTTTTAGCAGATGCTCTTCACACGGGTTTAAGAAACCAGTTTTATGTTACATCCTTTAGGATACATTGTTTTAGGATGTGAACTTCATTAGTATTATCACAAGATACCCTCTTTGTATGACATGTTCCCATTCCTCCATGAGACAGAAAAGAAAAAAATACTATGTTTTCCTTGTTATTCATGGTGTCTACTACAAAGCCATAGGCAAAAGTCTCAACTGAAAAAGGTCGCAAAAACAATAGCGAGCTTTCTCTTTTAGATGAGTATAATAATAAACTTTGAGGCAGTCTAGGTAAAATTCTGACCAGAGGTTTTGTTTTATCAAGATGTGTACCACATCTTATTAACAGCATTACAACCTGCATTTACAGAATTCTTCAACTTAGCTAATGCCCCTGGTGGGTAATTGAGTTTGGTTTTTCATGGCACTTCAAGTCCAAGGCAAAATTCAATAACTTCCCATCATTAGACTGTAAGCTTCCTGAGGTCTTAGAAGCTTACAGTCTAATGTAGCTTAGAGCTGTGCTGCCCAGCACAGTAGCTGTGAGTCACATGTGGTTAGTACAAAATGGGGTGGACTGTAGATGTAAAATACACTCTGGTTTTGAAGATGGAGTATGAAAAAAAGAATAAACTACCTCATTACATTTTTTTATACTGATTAATATTGAAATAATATTTTGGATACATTAGGCCAAATAAAATATCTATTATTAAAACTAATATCACCTTTTTTGTTTTTTACTTTTTAATGTAGATATGAGATATGTGGCGTGCATTATATTTCCATTGGAGCAGTGATGCCCAATAAAAGTTTATGTAATTGAATTATAAAAGACTTAATGCCACGTGTGAAGTAATGATGATAATGGTGATAGCTCATATTTAATAAGCACTAAGTGCCAGACACAGTGTTACTTGCTCTATATGCATTACCTCTGCGAGTCAGATAAATGGTTATGTAAAGGTCCAGTTCAACAGAGTCATCTGGGCTCAAGAAAGACTTGAGGGAGGGTATCTGTGAAGGCTTGAGAGAAAGCCTGCCCCATGTTAAGCACTTGGTAAGTATCAGCTATCGAGGGAAACACCAGATAGTGAACCTACCCTTTAATGAACTTATGATACCATACAACTCCGTCTACTCTCGCCTTCCGCTGTCAGCTGGGCTAACTCCTATTCCGCCTTCAAGTCTCAGCTTAAAGGTCATTTCCTCTGCAAAACTTACTTTCAGGACCCCCTCATACGCCCCACTTATTCACGCCCATGGCATATTCTACTTTGCATCAGCAACATCTAGCAAGGTCGTCTTTATACACAAGCTCGTGTTTTGGGTATTGTTGTGCTTCGCGTCCGAGCGTAGCTCCCCAGCGCCCAGTGCAGTGCTTGGCGCAATAAGTCTTCACTGATCCACCCCACTCCTCCCAACTGCACAAACACCCCAGAACGAAGGCCACGCCAACGCAGGTCGCGCTCCGCTATGACAAGAGCCCACGCCCCACCACCAGCGGATCCTTCGTCTCCATCTCTCAGGGTGAGCCTTCTCCCCGGTAGGAACACTCTCTTCCGCCCGGGGCATCCCCAGGGCTAAGGCAAGCCCCTCTCCTAGGCCACCTGCCACAAGGCCCGTCGCGATCCCCTACCTTGGCCACTTTGGGAATCCGCTGTTTCCCGGCCGCAGTAGAGGCCGCCATGTCTGCAGCAGCGGACCTCGGGACACCTGGCCCCACGCACGGACGCTAGAAATCTACTCTGAGAGCTCACCGAAACCACGAATCTTTTCTGACAACAAACAAGATCCCGGAACCGGAAGCGGAACTCACTAGGATGACTTTTGACCTCTCGCATGCGCCGTGACGGAGCGGCTCCGTTTCCACGGTGACCAGGCTGCGCGTACTCCTGCAGCAGCGCGTAGAGTGCGGCGTCCTGGAGCTGCGAGTGAGGTTCTTAGCGCCGGCCTGCCTGGCAGCGACGCAGGTCCTGCGGTTCAGGGCGTCAAGGGCGCATCCCCAGGTCAGCCTCCGGAACTGGGATGACCAGGCGAGGACTAGTGGCTCTTTCGAGCCGTGGCGCCCTGCAAGGGAGTAGGAACGAAGCTCCAATCTGGGTGCTCGAGGGCGGGGAAGAAGGGAGAGCGAGAAAACTACATCCCCAACATGCCAAGGGGCGAGCTGCCGCCCTTTAGGCTTTCTGGCGCTTCATTTCATTTTAGGGCTTGTAGTCTGTGGGGTCCACGCCCCCTCGTTTCTGGTTTCTGGATAGTTATGTCCAAATAATGAACTCTAAGGTGCCCTAATAATTGACTCTAAGGTTTGGAATTAAAAATAACGTAAGATATTTCGAAGTCAGATATTAGGAAAAAAATGAAAATACATAGAGTAACTGGAAAACAACTCAGTCTTGAGATAAGAAGCATGTTTAAATTCTGTGTGTGCCTTAATTACATTTTCTTAGCCTCAATGTCCTCAACTATAAAACAAGGATAGTAACATCTGTTTCACTAGGATTAAAGATAAGTGCTCATTAAACGTTAGCTATTATAATAACCTACCCTCAAAAACTTAAAAATTAAGCCAAGGTTAAGATAATTTTTTTTAATAGACAACTTTTAGAGAAGTTTTAGGTTCACAGCAAAATTGAGTAGAAGGTACAGAGGTTTCCCCCCTCCAACAGCTTCCTACTGTCAGTAATTGTACTTCCTTCCCCCTCCAACAGCCTCCTACTCTGAATGACATTCTCCTCCGGAGAGGTACATTTGTTACAACCATTAACCTACACTGGCACATCATTATCATTCAAAGTTTGTAGTTTATGTTAGGGTTTACTCTTGATGTTGTATATTCTATGAGTTTGGACAAATGTATAATGACATGACTTGGCAGCACATTTGTTAGGATAATTTCCACAGTTGCAAAAGGCTCTTTTTGGTGTTTGGCCAAAATATATATTTACGGATGTAGTGATACATAATGCAGATTATATATTGCAGATAATGCTTTCAAAAAAGATTTATGTAGATTTCTAAAACTACAGTCAGTTATAAACAACATCAATATATTTGCCATAACTCTATTAACCATATTATTTAGATATTTTATCTCACTTTTCAAAATTTAGAGATTTTATATCACTTTCATAAAGCCACCTAACAAAATAAATATCTGTTAAAATAAAAAGATATTTAAGTGATTTTTCTTAAATGTCTAACTGTAAACAATTGATTTACCAAACAAAACATTAATCCTCGTTAGCTCAAACGTACAAACGTGTTAGAATACTTTGCTTCTAATCACCATCCTTCTATACATTTTTGTTGTCTGGCAATTCAGTTCATCTATTTTTTTTCTTTTCTTTTGGAAAAATGTATTATCTTTTTTACTTTTTGCCATCAGTGCTTTTGTAGATTTACCTTCAGGTTTACCTTCTTATTTCCCAGCATTTAATCTTGTATTCCACTTCTGTCTGATTTTAATTTTATTCTTATCTGAATACACCATCTTCTAGTTCTTTCTACAAGATTCTTTGAATTTCTTTCAGTCTTTGTATGAATTGTCTTTATTTCATCTTCATTTAAAAATGATTGTTTAGCTAGGTTTGTCAGTCTAGGTTAATGATTATTTTTCCCTTTATATTTTTAAAACACTATTCTAGTAGAAAACTATGCGTCATAGACGAAATTTAGCACATTGACTATTTTGTATGGAACATGAGTGAGCTAGGGATATATATAAAATATCTGTATTATATAATATATAATATGATATAATAATATATATTATATCATGTTATTATATTTATAGATATATCTTATACATCATATATACATTATGTACATATATATGTAATGTATATGTATATATATTGCATTAAACTTTATGTGTCGTTTACACTTTAAACATTAGAAAAAAATTACATGGCACATGAAAATGATGCAGAAGTCAACTTTCAGTGTCCATAAGTAAAATTTTGTTGGAATACATTCGTGCTCATTTGTGCTGATATTGTCTCTGGTTGTTATTGTGCTGCTATGGCAGAGTTGAAGAGTTGTGCAGACATGTGACTCATAAAGCTTAATGAATTATCTGCCCCTTTCCAGAAGTTTGCTAACCCCTGTGCTACTGGCTTCTAATGTTGCTGAATAGAAATATTCTGTCAGTCTAATTATTTTTTCGTAGACAGTCTTTTATCAGGTTTTTTTTTTGTAAGTTTTCTGTCTGCCTTTAAGGTTTTGTAGTTTTATTGCTATATATATTTGGAGTTTATTTGTATTTTCTGCTCTGAACTGAGGGTTCATGTCTTTCATCAATACTAAAAATAATTAGCCATTATTTTCAAATGTTTCATTTCTTCTTTTTGGGATTCCCATAAGACAGACGTTTTTCATTCTGTCTTACATGTGTCTTTACTGAATTCTATATTGTCTATATCTATATGCTTTTCTCTAGATAATTTGTTCATAAGTATCTTCCAGCTTATTCTCTTTATTCTTGTCTGTTTTTAACCCGTCCTCTTAGTTTAAATTTTAATAACCACATTTTTTATTTTTATGTTTCTCTTCTTTTTTAAATAATGACCTACTCTCTTCTCATGACTTTTGTTTCTCTTTCTATATTTCTTTATTATAAATATACTTAGTTTATAGTCTGTTTCAGAGTCTATCATCTGAAGTTCTTGGTCACTCCCTAATACACAGGTAGTATGGATTAGAATGCCAGACCCACTTTAGAATTTGGACTTCTCAGCAGTATTTTTGTTTTATTTTCTACCTAGAGCTTTGTGTAGAGAAAGCTTGTCACTTTCTTGGGCTGATAAGTTTAATTTTTCTAGTCCCCTCACTTACTGAGGGGCCCATCCCTCCAAAGTCCCAGGTAGATGCATGGTTTAACTTTTAATTCTCTCTTTGGAGTGAGGTCTATTCTGTCCCCAAAACCTGTGTCAGATCTGATCACTTCCTGAGCCACTGCTCACATCATTGCCACCTGGTTGGAGAATTTCCCTTGCTTGCTTGCTATCTTCTTTTCTTGCTATCTTTTTACCAAATTCAGTTATCTAATTATACTTTCTTATTTTATTCAGAATTGTTATATACTTGTAGCATTAGTTTATGATATGTTTCACAAACAGGATATCTCATTCCAATTTTGCTTTCAATTTAAAACCAAAACCAGAATGACAATGTTTATGGCCAGCTTTGACAGGAATCTAGATGTTATTCATCTCTCTTTCATTGTTTTCCCTGTTTTGTGAGCTCGTTGGCTAGTATATAATAAAATGGTTTTCCCTAGGAAGGAAAGAATTAAAAAAAAAAAAAAAAAAAAAAAGAGAAGAAAGAGGGAGACTTACAGAAATTGAAATAATGAGAGAGAGATTGAAATCATTTCGTGATCTACTGTTTCTGTCAATAGCATTTCCCAAAGTGTCCTGGAACATTAGATTCTCCACTGTGGCTGTCCTTAGAGATTCTGTTACAAAAGAGTGGGCTGGATTATACAAAGAAAACAAGTTGCTTTATTATGGAACCTCTCAAACATATTAATGGGCCTGGTGGCCCTTCAGGAAGCCTATTGCGAGCATTTCCTATACTTAACCGTGGAACTTTTCTGGTCTCAAAATATCTCTCAAGACTGCTGACCTTCAGGGCTCCAGTTTGGAGAACTCTATTAAGAACATAGGCAGCGGCTGTGAATGTTTCCCCAGTAACTCTTGACCACATGCCATTGTGGCCAATTAAATATAAGAGGACCCTGAATCCGTAAATAATTCCTTTCAATGTTTTTCCAATTCTATTGTTAGAATTTTTTAAAGCAGCTTTGTTGGAAACAAAGAGTATAGTTGCAGTAACTTCTAAACAGGGCAGTTCTCAGAAACTTCATTCTCCTATGGAGAAACATCGGCTGGTTTGCAGCGACAGCTGTCACAGACTGCACCCAGGGGAAAACGTGTCACACCAGTATTCTCGTACCATGTTTGCTCTGACCATATGGAAATTGAATTAATGTCCAGTTTTGTGTGTACTATAACCAAACTGACTTGTCACATCAGATTAATAGTGGACTTTTTTTTCTCTCTTTTGGGGACAGGATAAAAAATGTCAGTACTCACTTCTCCAAGAGGAAAGGTAGAAGTCGTTCATTGCCGAAGAACAGACTCACAGGATATTTATTGTATCAAAAGCCTTATTAGAAAATTTACCCACAAGCTGTTTGGGAAGCTAAATATCATCTATCTTCTGTAAGTACATAGCTAAGTTCAAGAATGTTCATCAATTTTGGCCAGGTGCAGTGGCTCACATGTGTAATCCCAGCACTTTGAAGAGGCCAAGGTAGGTGGATCACTTGAGGCCATGAGTTCAAGACCAGCCTGGCCAACATGGCAAAACCTCGTCTCTACTAAAAATACAATAATTAACTTGGCATGGTGGCACATGCCTATAATTCCAGCTATTTGGGAGGCTGAGGTATGAGAATCACTTGAACACAGGAGGCAGACGCTGCAGTGAGCTGAGATTGTACCACTGTACTCCAGCCTGGATGACAGAGCGGGACCCTGTCTCAATTGAAAAAAAAAAAAGAATGTTCATCAATTTTATAACATGCCAGAGGAAGATCCTACCTTTTTGTCTTTATGGGGCTTTTTGTGAGAAAATGGGTCGCTCACTGCACAGTGAAAAAAACGTAGCAAGAAATCTCTGGAAATGACAAATCACTATGCCCTGTAACACCATGCAAGTTGAACATGTTTCTCATGGGCTTTGGATTCAAACAAACTTGCTTCAAATCTCAGC